CAGAAAGCTAACAAACAATAGCAGACCCGCCAAAACAGCCTTAGATGCACCCAGTGAGGGAAGATTAGCGGATACAAATCGCTCGGTCATGTGCTTTGGACTACTAATGACGATATTCATAACCTGGAATACTTTTATAAGGGACCGTTTTGATTTTTTTGTGATCTGTGGACCTTTACAGACCAAAGAGAATCGAAGTTCTACACGTCCAAAAGGTAGGCAGTCACCACGCTCCGCTGGTTCACAATGCTGGTAGATATTAATAAATCGTATTTATGTGCTCATGTTTAGCGCAAAATGAACTTGATATTTGAATTGTAGAGACTCTAACCGATCTAACCAGGTACAGCCTGTTTATATTGACAAAGCCTTTACTCGTCATACACGGGTCGGCGGGCCACATGAGTTTAAGAGAGTTACCACCCAACTCTGCAGTTTCCACCTCATCTATTTCTGTGCTTTTTTGGTGCCTTTCAGCCACAAACAGTTTTAAGTTGTAAAATGCAAATGTCCACTACCTGCAGACCTGCAAACAGCAGATGGACACAGTTAGAGAGTAGCTGGTGAATATAGTGGAGCATTTAGCAGTTAAAGTGCCAGATATTTCCCTCAGGAGTTGGTAGAGACCAAAAACAGAGCTAACAGTTAGCAACATTATTCTCGTGTTTCAGCCCAGTTCACTGAAATGATGTTGTCACCTGCTGCTGACATCCCCTGCTTTTGAATGTTGAATGTTGAATGTTTATTCCTGTGTTGAGAGCTGCTTCTATTGTATGTTGGTGGTGTTGTACTGTATATGATATGTCCCATGATATTATTGGGGAATTGGACTCATTGTGAACTCCTGGACTCTCTGTGACCACATGCTGTTGTCTGCAGCACACGTCCTTTGTTGAAACATTCAGAGCTGCTGTGGGAAAGTTGGGGCTGGATTAAAACCTTTGAAGATGGAGCAGCAGCTGGGAATGGAAAAAGCGGGAAACCTTTTTAATAATGAGAGAGAAGCAATATGGAGGGCAGAGATATGACATTTTCAACACATCCCTGGTCAGTGTGTGTAGTTTAAGGCATCCTTAGGGACTGTAGCTCACAATATGTCCAGCTAAACTACCGTTACTCCAGTTTGTCAATAACGTGATTATCATTTATTCATATAAAGCCGCAGTGACAGGACCACATGACCAGTCTGAATGGTCAAAATAAAAAGCCTTAATCTCCAGTTAATCTTTATCTCTGCTGGAGGACAAACACATGTGGCAGTGTCAAGGTGGAACAGAGTCAACTTTGTCTTTTTCTTTCCCGCCCTTTCACTTTTATTTCTTCTTTTTACTGCACTCTGTACTCCACCTGTTCCCCCGGGACACATTCTTTGTCCAAACAGCAATGCAGAGTCAATTTAGCATGAAGTCATTGAAACTTTCTTTGTGATTAAAGGAGCCTCAGAGTGTGGGAACCTGCTGTCAGACTGAGACCTGCAGTCCTCACCCACTCTGCATTTATTTATCAGCTTTAGTTAAAGATGACTCAGATTTAGATTCTACAAAACCTATGATCAGTTTGTTAATTAGTATATAAAGAAGTTTAAATGAGCTCAAACAGCCATCATTAAAATTCTACTCGGATGTTACTGCACCAGTAATGATAATAATATCATACATCATTAATAGGGACCATAATATATCACATTTATACATCCTTTAGATATAGGAAGATATACATTTATAACATATATGAAATGCCAATAGTAAAAAATTATATATGTACATATATTAGAAACATCTGTGTGGTGAATTTATTAATAGAATGCTGTGTTTTCTATGTAAAAATTATATGTTAACATTATATATTTAATTCATTTATGCAAATTCATTAAAACAAAATACGTGTTAAAATCTATATGTTTAAATATGTTTTACTTATTAATTTCTCATTAATTTTAAACATGTCTAACTTCACATTCTGGAAATTGGTCTCATACTTTTGGACCCTACTGTTTATAATATCAACATATTCTGACAGGCTATAGGATGGATATGTATTTATGTAATATATGTCTACATTTATTCCATGTGGAATAAATGGTACAAACAGAAAAAGTGTTAACTTGTGCAGAACAACTGTATTGTCTAGGGATTAAAAAAGATAAAAATAATTATCTTTGAGGACTTTGATGCCCCGCAGACATCAACAGAAAAACTAAAGTCTCATCTCCCAAACAGCCAAACTTCAGAGTGTCTTTGTCAAGTTTTTTGGCGGGAGTTTGGTGTCCGCAGAGTAAACATGCTCTCAGGGAGTGAATGGTCCAGCTGCTGCTCCCAGGACAAAGACAGGACCTGAGCTTTCTCACACTCGCACCATTCAGAGCTGTCAACTGGGAAGTGTGCGTCCCATTTTTCCAGCAGCTCCTACAGTTTACTGCTCGTAAGTGCGGCCATATGGTAATAAGCAGCTTAACATTTCCATGTGAATATGGCAGCAGAGAGCGAGGCTTCATTATGACACCAAAACCTGCTGGATATCTGAATCAGTGTTGATCTGTTTACTGACTTAAAAAAAAAAAAATCTAAATTAAACTTTTGTGCAAATGCATATTGAGCATCACATGCTAATTCTGGATCTGTGATTTTAACTGTCATTTAAAACATGATATTTTTATACTTAATAATATCCTCCCTGTAATAATATTCAGGGATGTGATTAGAAAAACAGAGGTAGAAGAACTATTGAGATCTATTTCTAAAGTAGTGTCTGTGATCTACATGTAGAATACTTAGTATTATGAGCATAAAGTGCTTAATTATCAAATTTAAGAGGTAAAAGTGAGTGTTATGTGTTACATACTTAAAGTATCAATACCTGGATGTAAAAATACTTAATTACAAGTAAAGGTTTTCTAACTTATTTAAAATTACAGATGTATTACCAGCTTAATGTGCTTAAATATCAAAGGTATCAAAAAGCTACTCATGGCATCATTCAGAATGAAGTATTCATACTTAAGTAAAGTAACAATACTACGGTGTAAAAGTACTGCACTGCATTAAAAAGTAAAAGTACAGAAGTATCAGCAAAATAAATGGAAGCAAAGAAAGGCCAACATGATTTGAATATTATAAGCAGCAGAACACCTTATTATGACTTTCAGTCACTAATGAATACTTAATGTTGATATTATTTATTAATGTGAATTTGAAAAAAAAATTATTTTACTTGAACTTTTTTAATGAAAAGGATATTTCAAATCACGGAATTCAAATATATAAATCCAGACAGATGCTTTTCAGATTTCATCGTGAATTATTTGTTATTGATTAAATTTTACATTTAGCCATTCAGTTGCTTTTATGATGTAGATTATTATGACCTTTGTTTGCTTTGAATAACAATGTAGTGAAAGTGTTATGTTGTTTGTTCAGGGGCTCAGCAGATAGAGCGGCTCATCCACTGGTCGCAGGGACGGTGGTTCGATTCCTGCCTCCTCCTATCCACGCCAGCGTTTCTTTACCAACATGTGCTTTCTGCTTTATTACCAAATGAAAAGGACAAAAACAGAACCTGGTAATGTAAAATGTTTACATATTAATTAATGTCTTCTAAGTGATCTATAAACCATAAGTAAATGATTATTGATTACAACTCATAAACCACACCCCTTATTAGAAAATGACACAAATCTTTATATGTAACTTGTAATTTTAGCCATAGAATAAATATAATGGAGCAGGATATAGTAGCATTCAGTATAAAGTAGCATTAAATGAAAATAAAGCACAAGCACCTCAATACTTTATTCCTAATAAATTATTATTGATGAGAAACTGAGCTTGTAAACAAAAGAAAAAAAACCCTGTGTCTCTGCTTCTCAGTCCAACATGTGTCAACATGGTTTACTGTGCAGCTTGTTGTTGAGGCAGTAGACTTTAAATTGGCAAGAGTGTGACATGAAGTGTGTGAGACAGACATCCTGAGGACTGGTCATAAAACTCGTCTGTGCTTTGAGAACTTGAAGGAGTGACAGGACTCATCCTCAGTCTGGACTGGAGTCACATGGTCAAAGTGTTTTGATACTGCAACATGAAAAAATTTATTGGATTTTATCTGTCCTATTATTGTTTGCCTACCTTGTGTTCAGGGTATAGTCATACTCTATTGGAACTACAAAGCCCAGTCAATGATTGTCTGCTGTGAACTACAGCTTCAGTCCTGTTATTTTAGTGTGTATTTGTTCACATGTAGTCAAACTGTGCCATTAAACGTAGCTGAATCAGCTGTGATCAGCTCCTGTTTGCATTGTAGCCATGAATGTAGAGACAGCTGTCACTGGCTTACTGTGATACTGAAGAAAACTTGAGATTTTAAGTAGCTGAATCTATAAGGCAACCATATGATAATAAGATAATAACAAAGACTATAAAAGAAGCCAAAAACAAAACAAGTCCACACACATTATATTAATAATTAAATATTTATTGTCAAAAATTAACTATCTGAATTTACAGTTATTAAGGCGGTCACGTTCTGAAAACATAATTAGTCATTTATTTGAGGACAACTAAGTATTCAAATATATTCTGCACACAATGATAAAAAGACTAAAAAATCAAGTCATTATGGACGTTATCAGCACTTAATCTGCATTTCATCTTCAAGACAGTTTCACAGCCGATTTGAAATAAACTGTAAATAACTTCTGTATGATAATCTGCCAGAACAGAACTCAGAGTTTTAAGTTCTCAGACTGAGTTGCACAAAGTTTTTGACCCTGGCTTGTTGACGTAGCAGCGGACACACGAGCTGTGAGCGGAGCAGAAAAAAAATCAAACACAATCAGGACAAAAGAGGAAACAACCTCGTTCTCATGGCGATCTCTACAACACCCATCTGTCAAATTTCTTTTGTAACTAAAACAAATATTAAACATTAATGACCAATAAAATCTTACGTGTTGTTTGATATGTAACATATATTGACCTAATCTTAATTTAATTTAGGACTGCGACTAACAATTTGTTTCTGTTATCGATTAATCTACCAGGTATTCTCTTGATTAATCGATTAATCGTTCAGGCTATAAAACGTCAAAACACAGTAAAAACTGTGTCGACTAACGGCTCAAAACCCAAAGAGTCAGTTTACCCTCGTAGAGACTAAAGAAAACAGAAAACATTCAGAACTAAGAGGCTGAAACCAGTGGAGCTTTGCTTAAAAATGACCAAAAAAAAAAATGAATCGACTAATTGTTTCAGCTCTTACTTGACTCAGATTAAAAATGTATATATTTACTGTTGAACATCAAGAGACAGATTTTGTCTTTGACTCCAAATACGAGGGGGAAACAGTTCTGATTATTCTCCATTTCTGTGATTAACGTACGAGCAGCTAAAACTTGTCCAGACGCTGAAATCTGTTTGAGACGATGTAGAGGAAGCGCTCCGTTTGAAATGGGAGATCATGGAGGCGTGGATGGAAGATGTTCTCGCCGTTCTGATGCTGATTCTGCTCCAGATACATTCACGTCCAAGTTCAGTGCAAAGCTTTTCTCAGAGGGACAGTGGGCGGACTAAGAATCAGGCAAGGAGAGGATCTCTCGTCGTTTCATTCAGCAGAAGTCTCTAAGTGTGTGTTGTTGTTGTTTTTGTTGCTGCAGGTGACCAGACGATCACCTGGAGCTGATGGAGGGAGGGAGGGAGGGAGAGAAGGAGTAGGGAGGGCTCTGATTGCACCAGCAGGCTTCAGTCCCGGACTCCCTCTCAGCCCATGTAGGGGTACCTCCACTCGTTGAGGGGGACGTGGGTCTCCTTCACCACCTGCGGAGACGTCCATCTCAGGACGTAGTGTGGACCTCCAGGTTTGTCATTAGTGCCTAGATGAAGAGAAAGGTCACAGTTGAATCAAACAGACAGTGAAAACCCTGCGTGTCGTCACCTGGAGTGACTGGAGAACAGGTAACAACTCTCACCTGAAGCTCTGGCGCCACCAAATGGCTGCTGAGCAACAATGGAGCCGGTGGATTTATCGTTGACGTAGTAGTTCCCTGCAGCGTTTCTCAGGGCTTTAGCTGCCTGGTCGATCACAGTCCTGCAACAGAGAACTCGCTCAGAAAGATATCCAACAGGTGTCCTGCTCCTGGATTTATCAAGTGTCTCAAACAGGAAGTCAGTTTGACCATGAACTTGGCAGAGAAATTGTTGACTTTGGAAAATTTGGTTAAAATTTAGAGTAATAATCAGCAGGAGGAAAAATGTTCTTATTAAAATCCAGTGTTTCCTCCTTAATGTATCAGTAAATATAATTCTTAGATTAAAGTGATTCATTATTTGGGCATCATATTATTGCAGATGTTGATATTGTTTGATATTTCTAAACACAACTGTCTGGTTAGAACTGGTTAGATCTTGTATAAGCCTGTGTTTGTACTGCATCTTGCATGTGTTGTGCATGTCACACACATGAAGCTACTTTCTTATTGTAGTGACAATGAAGCTCTGCCATCAGTGAGTGAAACAAATGAATGATTATCTGTTTATGTTTGGAAATGAATGAGGAGCTGAATGAGAGACGTCACTGATTCACAGCCTCTCTGCTGCGTCACAACATGATACCGTTCTTTCTGATCAGTGAATATATGAGGACACGTTTCCTTCGTTACGTCTCGACCTAAACGTATGACCAAACACCTGCATGTGTCCTTGCAGGGACACCGTCCTGCAACTCTGAGTTTTTATAAACACAGACTCTGCTGTTAAGAGTAGTAAAGAAACACAAACATGTAGATGAGCTTGTCTTACTTGTCCTGAGCGAACACAGCTCCAGTCAGAGCGTACGGGGACGTGTTGTCTATCAGCTGCAGCACCTCTTTGTAGTTCTTCTCAGGATAAACATAAACTGCCAGAACCGGCCCAAAGATTTCCTGCACAAAACAACACAAGATAAGATGTTAAGACTGTTAAAATGTTTGTAAAAATACATTAACTAAAAAAAAAAAAACACATTATGGTTGAATTTTGTGTATTTTTTTAACTGGATGTACGAATATTTCTGCAAATATCCAGTAAATTTTTACTCATGGAGAAAATAAAGGGAGTAGTGAAGTGTGTTAGTGATAACCGATTAAACCACACTCACGCACGCACGCACACACAATGTGGCTGTGGTGTGTTTTCAGGCTGTGAATCAGGGCGTGAAACAGGGTTTGAGTGGGATGAGTTAATCAAACAGCTGACGATGTTTCTGTGGGACACGTTTCACATGTTTGTGTAGGTGATCCATCAGTTAATCCTGAGCTTAGTCCACATGCACACAATGTCATCTCCACACTAACATCATGAATAGAGGGGAAGCAACATGACGACTTACTGCAGTTATATATATTCTAATATATTCTAATAATTCTAATAATTTTTATTTTTATAGCCAGATGAAATGTGATTTCAGAATCTGTGGCTTCAACATTTATCTCTTGTACTAACAGAATTACAAAAAGAGAATTGAGGTTTAACTTTAACTTTAGTTAAAATATGAACAACATCTGTCGCTCCACTGAAACCAAACATCATATCAAACCTCGTTCATGATGGCGTCCTGTGGGTCTTTGGTCTCGATGATGGTCGGCTCGACAAAGTAGCCCTTCTTATCGTCGCAGTTTCCGCCAGCGATGACGTTTAGATTCGGAGAAGACTTGGCGTGATCGAGCCACTTCTTTATCCGACTAAACGACTGCAGGACAAACAAGAGGAAACATAGAAAATAGTAAAAAAGTCAACACACAAATACACTGAAAATTTTAGAAAAAGAGGACAACTGTACCTTTTCATCTATCACAGCTGAGAAGAAGGTGCTGAAGTCTTCCACAGGCTGAAGGGAAGAAGAGAAAATCATTAGAATAGACAACTGTTTACTTAAAAGTCAAATATTCTCTGGTTTCAGCTTCTTTAATTTGACAATCAGATGTTTTTCTTTGTGACATGTGACAGTGAAATGAACCTCTGATGCTTTTCTTAACATTTTATAGATTAAATGATCAGTAGATTAATAGATAATGAAAATAATGATTACAGAAGCCTGACATTTAAATCTACTTCTTCTCTGTGAACTCACGTCTCCCACTTTGATGTTTCTGTGAATGTCCAGAAGTCCCTGTTTGATCTGCGGCCACTTGCTGTCCGGTACGTACATCCTGGAGCAGGCCGAACACTTCTGACCTCCGTACTCAAACGCCGAGCGAACCGTCCCCATCACCACGCTCTGAACATCCGCAGAACTGTGGACGAAGTGGAAATTCTTCCCGCCGCACTCTGAAAATATCAAGCGCCACATTCGGTGACAAACAACACAACAGAGAACACTACTTCAGGAAACTCGCTATGTGGATAATGGGTGTGATCTCCCGACTGTGACGTGATGTCATAATCGTGCGTCAGAGGTTCTGCTCACCTCCTGCCAGGCGAGGGAAAGTCTTGTAGGTGTCCAGGTTCTGGGCGACCTGTTTCCACAAGCGCTTGAACGTCCTAAAGAACAGATTCAGACAGAGCATTGGTGAGGTACCATCCAGAACCACTACAGCTACATCACAGCGGCACAGGATTAGTGAAGGGCGACACATTTATATGATATAAAACCAAGCAGCATGTATTAACTAATGTATCTACAATAGCAGGTTAACACGGTGGAAGGAAACTTGAACAGTTTCAAACTAATATTTTAAAAAGGAAAGAACACAAACAGTCATATTTAGTGGCGTTAGTGAGTTTTCACTGTGATTTCACTTTTTAAAGTTTCTGAATTCATTTTAAATTGAAGCCACCACAAGTTCAAATAACACATGGTGTGATGTGTGAGAAATAAGCAAAGGATGCTGTGATATTTGGAGCTGAATAAATCGGAGGCTAACGCCGATATAAAATAACAGGAAGAAAGAAGAAAACAAATAAAAAGAGACAAAGGAGGCGGTGCTTCAGCTGCTCTTTAACAGGCAGATGAAACCAGCAATGTTTCAGCTTCTGCATCTGAAACATGCTGAGCGTACAGCGAGTCATTCCCGGCTGCACTTTCTGATACCAGAGACGTGTCTTACGGGACGCTGCCGGTGAAGTTGATGCCTGCCAGATGTTCAGAGGAAGTGACTGTGTCTCCGAACACTGGACCATCTGCCGGCAGGAACTGGACGATGTTTGGGGGCAGACCGCACTCCCTCAGGACCTTGTAGACGGCGTAGCTCGCAGACATGGCGGTGTCACTGGGCTTCCACAGAACTACGTTACCCTGGCAAACAGGAAGTAGAAAAACATGAGCGCAAAGATCGTTACAAGTCTATATGAAACCCAGACAGAATCAGTAGGATCACGACAGCTGGGCACAATGTCCTCCTGGCCCGGGACCCAGAAGCTGATCCAGCCATGAAATACTCAGAGCCAAACATGTCCACACTCACCATCAGAGCTGGGGTACCTGCCAGGTTTCCACCGATAGCAGTGAAGTTAAAAGGAGCCACAGCTGCTACAAAACCCTGAGAGGAGAGGGAGATAAATACACACATGGATTTATTTGATTAGAATAAAGGTAGATACAAGACTAAAAGCTAAAATCCTTTTCCTCTTATTGTTCTCTTCGTCGGAGAGGCGGAAAGGTACGATAGCAAATCTAATACAAACAGACAGTTTAACAACCACTCTCTGCAGCAGAGTAGAAAATATATTTCTGCCCACTGACCTTTATTCTGAAGATATAATATTAATTAAATGACCGCCTGTTGCAGAATTATGAGGAGGAGCTGGAGCTGAATTTGTTTTTACAGTTATGTAAGTGAGACCAAACTTCATTTGAGTATTTCTTCTATCAACTGTGAGATTTGCGTCGAGGTTTAGAAATCAACGCGTCCAGGAAAGTAGTTTGGATCTGATCCTTATAAACCTATTTTGAACAATTTGAAGTTAGTGGAGAACTGCTGGACCAGAAGGAGGCAGCACAATCAAATAAACAAAAGAATGAGACCAGTGTTTCATCACAGTAGACCCTCCATTTTCTCCCACAAAATAATTTACACTAGAACAATAAGACAGATACTGGCTCAAGTTTTTTTCCAACAAGGCAAACCCAACATTTATTGGAGCTAATTGATCCCTACACATCACAGTAACAAGAGTGTGAGCTGTTCTTACCTCCAGCCCGCGGTACAGCATGGTGTTCGTGCTTCCGTCTGCGTCTAACGGCTGCTGTCTCTCCAGCTCGACTGCATGTTTGGCGTTAAATCTGAAGAAGTCAATCAGCTCTGCAGCGGCGTCGATCTCCGCCTGGACCACCGTCTTACCCTGAGACCCACGGAGCACAACACTGAATTAAACAATACTGCTTTGTTGAACAAACACATCAGTTTGAATCTAGTTAAATTATGTTGTTGTATAATTGTGTCCTTATCATGTGTTTGCCTGTACCTGTCCAATCATGGTCTTGGCGAGGATCTCTGCTCTCTTGGGTCCGCTGATGACGTCGGCTGCCTTGAAGAGGACCTGGGCTCTGTCCTGGACGGGCTTCAGGTCCCACTCCCTCCTCGCCGCCACAGACGCCAGGATGGCTTTGTTTATCAGCTCCTGCATCGGCCACGTTCAAGTAGGTGCACAGAAAACACAGTGTCATGAAACACAACAAGGATTTCAGGGAATGGTCAAACATGGAGAAGTGTGTATTCACAGCTCCCCCTGCTGGACAGAGTCAAACACAGGGTGTGGATTCATCACTCAATGTTCTTTACTAGTGTGAAAAATATATCTGAAGGATAAAAACATCAGGATCATGTGACTGTGACTTTATCTCAACAGAGGTGGTTATAGCAAATGAATGGAGTAGAAAATGTTTTCTTTTATGATAATATGATGTAAATATGATATTTACTTTAATTCCCCAACTCACCCAACCCCTTCAAAACAAGACACATTAGTGTTTGCATGGTGTCACTCTAACACTTATCTTACCTTGTCAGCGTAGCAGAACTTCGCCACTTTATGCGAGTGATTGAACGGCTTTGAAAAGAAACAGAAAGTTTAATTATTGATCAAACAAACAATATTTCTGAACGTGGTTCAGCTGAGTTTTCTCTCATCCAACAGAGTAAACGCATTCTGCTGCATGTTTGAACAGTGATATGTTCAGTGCCTGAGTTTCCATGGAGCAATAGTTTACTCAGATTACAGAAGGTGCTGTTGACTCACGGATAACTGGTATCTGATGTCTTTGGTCCACACATGTTCATCTCCAACCACGCATGGGATCTCCTCCGTCTTCCCCCTCAGACCGTCCAAGGCCTAAAAGAACACGAAGTCCAGATAAAGAGGCACAGAAACTGAATTACAGCTCGTGTTCTGCAAAGTGCATTAAGGTGAGTGGTGGGTAAACACATGCAGGTTCTCACCTTCAGCAGCTCTTTTCTTTCTGCACTCCCCTCTTTGAAGCCCAGGATCGGCTCATTTTTTACCTCCACAGCTGCACAGGGGAACGTTTTCAACCTTAAAAACACACACACACACACACACAGGTAGTTAATACTGTCCCACCTCTCTTCATTCAGAGTGCGTCTCCAGTCAAACTGTGCTCTCAGCAGGAAAACAGCACAGATCAGCAGGTGCCTTTTTGAACTGGCTTCAACTGGCCCTGAAGGTCTTGGTCATGGAGGGAGGATGTTGAACTCAGCTCCACAGCTGGTTTAAACTCAACGCTCCTGAGCGCTGTGCCAGGATTTCAGTAATGAACATGTGCCTCACAGCTGCTAATCAGCAACATGATATGAATTTATCTTCAATTAATGCAGCGGTCCCTAACGTTTTTCTGTCCTGCCCCTTTTGAACACTTTCCCCCTCCCTCCACCCACACTGAAGGCATTTATATCTAAACTAAACATGAGCAGCGTGTTTAAAAAAAAAAAAAAAATCCTCATTAGTTTCTGTTGTTTAAGTAATATATGCACCAACTGAAGCGGTTGATAAAAGTAAAATCAGGAGAGTTTGGTAAAAAGCAAACTGACTCAAACCTTCAGGGCAGCAGAAACAGACTCACACGCTCATTTTAAGTTTGTGGTCAGCTGTTGTTCCTGTCTTATTGTCTTATTCTTAACTTGTTTGTATTTTATGGTTTTACCTGCTGTAATTTGTTTTTGCTGCACACAGACTTTCCTTCTGTGGGACAATAAAGCCTGAAGTGAAATATTCAAGTTAAACTTTAAACAAACAGTCAAATCTGTCGGCTCCTCCTTGTGTCGGCTCTCAGAGCTGAACTGAACACAAAGACACCGACATGTTTGGGTTGAAATAAATAACATGAACGTGCAGCTTCTGTCCGACCTCCAGTCCGATGGGAAAGTTCTGTGGAGAAATTAAACCAGGCCTGAAACTAACGATTAGTTTCGTTATTGCTCAATCTACTTATTATTTCACCTGATTAATCCATAAAAATTGAAAATCCTCAGATGTAAGAAGCTGGAACTATTTTAGCTTAAACAAATAACCAATTATTAAAAATATGATTAGAAATCATCAGCATGATTTCTTCCATTGTGATCAGGTGAAATGCATCATTTAATAAAAACCTGAAACACATATTGTTAAAGTGAGAGCTGCTCCTACTTAGACAAAACAGAAGTAGGATAAAAACAGCTAAACTCTTCATATTTTTGCCGCTCTGCCACGTTACTCTACATCATTTTACAAGCAGAAATGTGGACTGTAGCATCTCATAGTGAAGATTTACTGCTTGTCTTGAACTTACGGTGACACTGAAGTGAATATATTTGGGTTTTAGAGCATTAGTTAGACAAAAGAGGTGTTTTAAAGATTCATAGAGCAGGTGTTAGCTGCTGCCCTGTTAGACTCACTTCTTCACTTTAGTATTTTTAAAAAAATTTTTATTAACTTATCTTAGTTTGATCCAGTTCTCCTGAAAGTTACATCACAGCAAGTCTGTGGTGCTTTTCATGTATGATTAACTACACCAGTCTAAACTTTCTGAACTGAAGGTCACAGATGATAGCTAACTCTGGAGGAGGACGAGGAGGAGGAGGAGGAGGAGGAGGAGGAGCAGGGGGTGGACGGACCGGCTGGTGGCTTTAAAGGTATTATAGGCATTATAATAAACCCAAACCTCTCTGACAGCCTTTTTTTTTTCTACACACATGCTCCTCATTCAGCTGCACACTGAGCTCCTGTGCTTTTGTAGCCTGGACACCAAGAGAGAAAGAGAACAAACATCTGGAAATGAGAGGAATTTAGTTGTTTGAGTTTTTACAGGTGTCACAGGAAAACAAACTTTTCTTTCCAAGAATCAGTCACTGATTCTAAGAAGGAAAAGAAGGAAAGTGCAGAGCCCCTGAAGTCGTCACATCCATCCTCCAGAAAACTGAATATGACAGAGATGTATTCATATGTTTTAGGCAATACTCCAACAGGGGGTAGCTGCTGTCTCTGACACACACCACTTCCCCACCGACTTATTGCAGCTCTTTACTGGCCCAAGTCTGCCCAAAGTCTGTGCCTCAGAACTAAGCATTAAATTCTCCGAAGGATAAACACATGGTGATGTTTGGAAAAGCCGGAAGGTGGTGTACCGTGCAACACTTAGCTCAGCTCTGCACGTATGTGAGTGAAAAGGTTTTCTGCTGCTGCACAATGACAAAGACATTTCACCCACTTATCAAGCTGTGACTGGAAGAACCCTGATAGATCCTGGGAAAAAAAACCTTAAGAACCAAAGCAAACACTGTTAAAATATCGCCAGGTATTTATGCTTTAGAGAAGTGGATGGTTACCACTGACTTGAACGAATAATGCTCATATATAAGAGGGGTAAACTTGGGGGTAGCCAGGTGGCACATGCCAGTCAAGAATCATCATAATCCACTGACTGGGGAGTGTTGTAATGGCAGCGTAACACAGTGGTAGACCATCTTCATGTGCCACATGCCGTGACATCCCACTAATGAGAGCAGTATCTGTCAGTGGCATGTGTCAGTGTGATCTACAAATCAGCAGCAGTACATGGCAGTGAGCTGTGGCCTGTGTTTAGCAGAGCCATGAGTCAGGAAACACTGACTTTAAATCACATTTCCTTCAAACACAAACACGTTTTCTGTTTCTACAACAACTAATTAGGTTCTGAAATCAACTCAAAGTGGAGAACCCATTGTAAGAATCATAGCTCATTATTTCTCTGACGACTAATCGATTAATCGTTGTGTGTGTGTGTGTGCAGCTTATGAAACTCTCAGAAATCTGACTGAGGTGAGTTCAGCATGTAAAACAAACTGGTGGATCCTGGGCTCTCGTTGAAGCCTCAGGCACAGACACTGGCTCGTGTAAAGAGCAGGACAGGTGAGTGAGGTTGTTTAGGAGAAGCTAACATTAGCTGGCATGTTGTAACCGTCACCCCGGTTAGGAGAGGTAGTCTCGTGTACGCTCATGTGAACCGTCAGCTGGTACCTACCCCCGCCGAGACAGAGCCACCGCCGCCCTCACACGGAGCATGTTCCCACTGCAGGATGTTACCACGAGCTGACGGAGAAGACCAGCGGAAAGACCGAGACACACCAGCGCGGGGAACACACCCGACTCACAGATCAATAACTGATCAGATAGACGGAGTCAGGAGTGGATCCAGATCCAGGACTACAACCCGACCCAACGTGCACTTCCCGGGGGGTGGGGGGGACATGTAGTTTTGAATGCCAGATTTACTTTCGCTTTGGAAGCAGTTATCCACTCAATCTGAATGTGATATTGTCGAGTATATTTTATTATTAAGGACTAAAAGGACGGAAACGCGCTGCTTTATTTGTTAAATCTTAAACATCTGTGGAACAACTCCCCCCCTCCTCGCCGTGAAATGGACCGTTCCACAGGCGGGTCTGTGACTAGCCAATCAGCGAACAGTAACATATACTCCACCAATCGGAGGCACAAAGCACAAAGCTCTATATTTGACCAGCTTCTTGACCTTTCAATCACCTCCACATGGCTTTCATCATGTCACTTTCGTTACAAGCGGGAAGACATTTTATTTTTTATTTTGAATTAATTGATGCACTGCATAGAACACACTTTCACCTCTACTAAATTGTAAAACAACTGAAACTGTGCATTTATGAATATGAATCTATGAATATTCACCAACTTTGTTCTGTTTAATATGTTGCCTGTTTATCTTATTTACGCCTCTGTTTGCTTTACAAATGCAATTTTGTCAAATCATGTAAAAAACCAACAACTGATAACTGTTGCCGTCCCTCTCTGAGAGCCTCTGGATCCATCTGACAGCAGAATAAATTCCTTGGAGACATAAATATGATGTAGAACAAATGAACAAGTATGAACAAATACATGAGAAATTTCCTATGAAATGTGACTCTGCACCCACAGGCTTCTCCTTACAGAGAATTCAACTGGTATAAAATCTGATTAACTGGTGACATAGTTTTTCTGAGTAATAAAGTACATTAAATTTCCTTTTAGAATTTCGCATTAGATAAATCCAGTAAAACAAATATTGGAGATAGTTAGAATTCTTTTTGTTGTTGTTGTTGTGTTCAGTATTTAATGTGGAGAGAGACTAAACCAACGGAGACATTTTTATTCTACATTTATAAGAAGTTGACTCCAAAATCAAATTATGGACTACATCAATGGGCCTATGGCACCATGATCAGTGACCTTAGAAATAAGGTCTCTGTGTTTTCACTGCTTTCCAACATTCTCCTTGTGTTTGAGTCCATAGTTTGGGACTTTGCCTATTCTGGACTGACTACCTGTGTATGACCAACTTCCTACCCAGTAAAGACTTGGCTCTTTGAACTTTTCAGCATCTTCTGAGTATTTCTCTGCGTCTGAGTGTCTGTTCTCTCTGGTGTTCTTTACAATGTGTATATGAGCTATCTTTTACAAGAGTTCTGAGTTTACATCATGAACAAAAATAAATAAATAAATAAACCTCACGGCAAGAGGTAAAAAGTATGTTAGTCACGAGCATTTCTGAAAGAACAGGTACGTGCACTGCTGAGATTAATCATGTCCTCAGTGTCATTTCTGAAAGAGCTGAGCCTCAGCATCTGTTATAAATGATTCCACATCTGACAGTGACTTTTAAGTCTCCATATTGACTGACTCAGCATGTGTGAACCTGAAATCTGCAGACTGGCGTCACCTTCTCTGAACAGATCGTCTGTAGTAACACAGAACGACCACAAGATGGAGTTAAACTTCAGACTGTTGCTCATTCATATGTTTGCCTCTCAGGTCCTCTCTCGAATCTCATGTTTCTTGCTCTGACATTTACACCTTTCCTATTTTTCTGACCGCACTGTTGCTTCACAATCAGCTCTGATCTCTAAAAACAAAAAAATTAAAAGTATACTTATACTCATGACCAGATGAACCTGTTTTGGGGGCCTGGGGCAAACATCTGCTGTCACTGGAGTGTCACCTGTCACTGGAGTAGTACCTGTCCCAGTTTCTGTGTGTTGACACCAGCTCTCTGTGATTGTGGTTTCCTGGTATTTTTATTTCTAGTGTGTCTTTCTCCATGGTTGGTTAGAGTTAATTGCTCGACGTCCTTCCACATCCATATCCTTTATAAATCTTTACTTCCTATAATATTGTAATTCCTATTTTCCATATTGTAATTTTACTGTATTAATTTTCCTCTGTTGCTCTTCCTGAGGTTTCTTCCATGTTTTCTTCATTGAAGGGTTTTTGGGGAGCTGTAAAGGCTGTCATATGTTCTATACATCTTCACAAATATGAACCTGCCTTTAAATGGTCTCCAGAGTCCAGAGTGTGTTTTAAGAGCAGGTTTGACAAGTCTAACATTATACTTAGTGTTTAAAGCTAGACGTGGTATCATGATGTGGCCTCGATTGATAAAAGCTGTGGAATTGTTCTTTTTCTGTTTTAATAAATAGAAAACAAAAAACAATAAAAAAGGTTTCACAAATCAGGAAACAGTCTTAACACTTTCACTACATGTGTATTATTATTTTCACAGGTACAAATAGTGCAAAAACAGAGAATACGATGCTAAATGTCGTCGTCCATGTGCCATTATCACTCTCGACCTCCCAAACTTGAGCGTCATTTTTGCTTCGCGTTTTGCCAAGAATTGTATTTTGGACCGACTGTCTCTCCATAGCGCGAGAGGTGTTGACAGAGAGGACTGTTGTGGTACAAATTAGCCTTTTCCCCTGGACAGCAACAGGACATATCTCAACTGTCAGCCCGAACGTTAGCCTCACTGACGGACCACTGCTGGAGGTCCGGTTCGTTTAACCTGACGGCAGCGGTAGGTGCTAACGTCGAGTCCATTTAGCTGCTAGCTGCTGCTGTTAGCCACCAGCTAACGCTGACCTGTCTGAGAGAGAGCAGAGTAGCCGGGCGAGGACAGAGGCTGTCCGGGCGAAGGGGTCCGTTTCAGCCGGCCTCGACCCACAGAGGGTCCGGGGGAAGGGTTCCAGTTAAACCCGAAAGGTTTTATGTAAACACATAGAACAGGGTGTCACTGGTTACAGTGAGCTAACGCTAAACTGTGGTTTCACTGGTTCACTCATAATGTTACCGTGAGGGGTGGTTCATGCAGAACCTGCAGTAAAAGTATCTGCAGTAAATGCATCTGCAGCAAAAGTATCAGCAGTAAAAGTACTTGCAGAAAATGTACCTGCTATAAAAGTATCTGCAGTGGAAATGCCTGCAGTAGAAGTAACTTCAGTAAAGGCACAGAAGTATTTTCAGCTGCATGCAGTAAAAGTACATGAATCCCTGAGTGTATTCCTATCTATAAGCAGTGTGTGGGTGCAGCTGACTCCAGCCAGAATGAGCTCTAAAGGAGGAGGCACCGCTCTGACCCGCAGAAACTACAGACTGTCTTCAGACACAGACAAACCCAAAGCTACAGGTATGACCTGCTGGTGGAGCATTGCATGTACACCTCACATAAAAATTACAGTATTCATTTTTATTGACTGATTGTCATACAGTTAGTTTTTCAGCAGTGTTTTTCATATGTCTTCAGATTTATTATTTTATTGTTGTGAAAACCTCTTTTATTTACCAGAAAACTGCAAACACAAGTGAAGATATTAACTGCAATTAATTAAAAATGATAGAATTTCTAACACATCTCACATTTCATAAAAGAATTCTGTTGTATTTACTGATTTACAACACAGCTTTTTCCAAACTGATCATTGTCTTTGTCCCTCTGTCAGGTATAGTGAATGAGAAGCTACTGAGTGACTACCTGTATCATGTGTTTCCTTCTGACAAACAAGGACCTGCAGTGGCCTCCCTCAGGTAACATTGTGGTTTGCTCATCCTTGCTTTAGTCTGTTAGCACCCACATTACAGTGGAATCTCATTTACTACTGCAACTGACGATTCATTTTATTATGGGTTAATCTATCCACTGTATTTTTGATTACTGCTTTAGTCTATAAAACAATAGACACTAGTGAAAAAATGCTTCTTGATTTTAAATTGAAATGTGTTGAGAATTACGGGATGGATTGTCATGAAATTTGGTTTTCACATTAATTCCCCCTGGCTGTTGACTTGTTGCTATTTTCTTATGGAGGACTTCAGTTGACCCTGAACTGGACTGATGCTGTCACTGATGTTGTTGAAACTATTACCATGGTAACATAGCCTCATCAAGCACTTTATTTTGTGCAATTACCCAACCAGCCAATAATGTGGCAGCAGTGCAGTGCATAAAATCCTTCAGTTATGGAGCCAAAAACAGAAAACACCCAGTGAGCAGCAGCTCTGTGTTGATGAGAGAGGTTAGAGGAGAATGGCCAGACTTGTTGGAGCTGACAGAAAGGCTACGGTGACTCAGATAACCACTCTTTACAACTGTGGTGAGCAGAAAAGCATCAGAATAAACACATCCAACCTTGAGGGGGATGAGTTACAACAGCAGAAATATGAAGCTGCAGTGGACACAGGCCACTGAAAACTGGAAAAATCCAGCCTGGTCTGATGAATCTGGATTTCTGCTGAGGCAGCAGACGGTACGGTCAGAATTTGGCATCAACAGCATGAATCAATGGACCCAACCTGCCTTGTGTCAACAGTCAAGGCTGGTGGTGGTGGTGTAATGGTGTGGGGAAAGTTTCCTTGGCACACTTTGGTCCTTTATACCAGTCACTCATGGTTTGAATGCCACAGTCTATCTGAGTTGTTGCTGACCATGTGCATCCCTTTATGGCCACAGTGCACCATCTTCTAATGGCTACTTCAAGCAGGATAATACTCCACGTCACAAAGCAAAAGTCGACTCAAACTGGTTTCATTAACATGACAGTGAGTTCAGTGAAGTTCACTGGCATCTCCAGCCACCAGATCTGAATCCACCTTTGGGATGTGGTAGAACAGGAGATTGGCAGCATGATTGTGCAGCTGACAGAAATGATGTGATGCAGTCATGTCAATCCGTGAGCTGTTGGGTTTCACAACTTGTTTTTCTTTTGACAGGTTAAGGTCTTGCACAACAGATAAAAACTCGGTCACAGCTGGTAAAATTCAGACTGTGTGTATATGAGTGTGTGTGTTGTACCGTGACCTGGACTAGTGTTTCAGTGACCTGCTGCCACTGGCTTCTTCCCTTAAGCCACACAGATTCATGTTACTCTCAGCAGCTCTATACATAGACACACACACACACACACACACACACACGCACACACACACGCACACACACTTCTTCTCTTCAGTTAACCCTTACAGTTAGGACTGAGGATTAGGGGTGAACTCTGGCAGCAGGATGAGTTTTACATGGTGGTGATGACGTTTGAAAAGCTCTTGCAGGCCACACAACATAGCTCGTGTAAAAATAAGGCAAGTCACACTCAATCTGGATCCATATTTATCTGGTGTTAAACCTGTGTTCACACAGTATCGCTGCAGTCTGGATGTGAAGGTGCTGCAGCAGGAGTTACTGTTAGCTTTCAACTTCAACCATTAAACTCCATCATTTCTGTGTAAATAAATATGTTAACACAAACCTGAAACCTGTCGGCCCTTTGTTGGCTCAGAATCTGAAACATGACGATTTAATAATGATGAGATTTAGGAAAGTCAAATTAATTTCCTGCAGCAGAAGCAGGTTGTGGTCGTGGTTTTAACGTCCAGACAAGTGTTCTTAATTCTGCAGACACGTCAGCAGGTGTATTCACCTGTTTCTGTGCTGCAGGTCTCCAGGATCAAGTCTGAACCAGCTTCACAGACCTCCCTTTATTCTTAGGTTTTTATCTGGTATTTAAATCCAAAATTTTACTTTTAGCAGTTTGATAAGTTCAAACTCTTGCCAAAGAAGTGATATGTGTTAATTTCCATTTAAATGTAAAAGATCAATAACTGGTCACAGATGTTTTTTTTTGGTCCTGGTCTATTTACAGTACATGTTGCATGGAGCTACTCTCTGTAAGATCCAAAACAATTTTTTTAAAAGTTTTATAGAAACCAAAAGTCCTGGACCCGGTCTCAGCCTACAGTAGCCTCTGTCCTGAGGCTGGGTGATATCTCCTGAAATCACTATCATGATTTGTTGTCACAGTAACCGTCAATAAAATAATAACTTATTAAACACACATCAATGTCCATACTCGCATATTAATTTGTTTTCCTGAAAAATGAAGAGAATTAAAGAAAATATAATCAGCAACATGGAGAACATAACAAAACTCCTTCTACTCCTCTCTTCTCCTTACTGTGCATTTATTCTGTTTCTCCTCCTCTTTGTCTTCTTGTACAGGAAGCCTCTCGGTTTCCAGGATCTTGGTGCTCACCTGGAGAGACTTCTGTCTGAGGGAGAGCCCACTGAGGAGAGCAGAGGTAAAGGTGCACCCACAGACAGAGTCCACACGGTGTTGGCAGTTTGTGTTTCCTTTTCTTCTGCCGGTACAGACTGAGACTACGTCTACGTTACGCTGTGTGATTTTTAAAACACTTTTTGTATGAAAACAGCATCCACACTGACACCTGAGTCTCCAGGTGCGCTCTGTCCTCAGTGACACACCTGAATGACATTAAACAGTTAAATCTTCTTCTTCTTCAAACTCTTTTCAGTTAAAACAACAAAACTTCATCACAGCGACATCAGCTGATAACATCTGTATTTCATGATCACAGTGTTGTCTGTCACAGTGAACATAAATACAGGTTAATGACAGATGCTGTGAGTCTGTGTTGACATTTACAGTGATTGATCAGAGACAGTTAGAGACGAAATAAAGTTCTTAGAGCAGGAGACTGAACCCAGCACTGCGGCAGTGAAAGCTGTCATCACCTCACTGCGTTTTAATCAGCTCAATTCAACACAATTGTTCTCATTTACACATTTTTTCATGTCTGTTTTCAAGACACTGAACCAGGACGAGATCTGATCACGGCTCATAAATGCCAAGTTGACCAGCAGCTGCTGAGCTGCAAATACCATCATTATCTAATGATCACAGCATCAGAATGAAGATAAATCCATGGTTAATGACAGCACTGACATTTAAAATGAGCGATGACAGAGAAAGTTAATGTGCAGCCACAAAGCATCTGTTACCATCTAACTCAGCTGCCAGTGTGTATTAATGCTGTAAAACATGAAGGATGTCAGTGAAACAACTTTACAAACTACATTATAAATGTGTGAGGAACAGAAGACAGACACTCATTGGAGCCATGATGCGGCCGTGTTGCAGCCGGGATTCAGCCGGAACCTCAGGCCCCACCCTCACTTGGCAGCTTATGTCATCATTTGCCAAAAACAAATTTTTCCCTGAACACACTGAAACATGAAGCTGTTTTTAGATTCATACAAACTTAAACGCTCAGTTTATGGATGACAAAAACATTGTTTCAGCCTGAATGGGGGTGCTGACACTTAAACTTAAAAGCCCCTTAGATTGTACTAATACTTATCAATCATTGGATCTCTCTGTGTCTGCAGATCAGGCTACTGAAGGTCGTCTGGGTCCTCAGCCAGTCGTCCTGGATCACACCAGCGGTTTTGAAGGACTTCTGTTTGTCGACGATGACCTGTTAGGGGTAAGATGATGTCGTACATTCATCATTTCAAACCCAAAAAGTAGAGTAACACTCGACCGACTGTGATTCCAGCACTTGTGATATTTATATAGCAGTATAATAAATTGGTAACCACTGCAATTAAAGATGCCCTCTCCCCCTGTTTTTCAATTCTAACCTTTATGATTTCAGGTCATCGGCCACAGCAACTTCAGCTCCATCAGAGCCACCACATGTGTTTATAAAGGTAAAACAATGAAACGTCCGCAGTGTCCCAGTTTATTCCATTACAGGATACAAACGGATACAGTTTTCTAGTTTTTTTAAACCTAAAAGATGATAACATGTGACGGCCTTGTGCTAATAAAAATAACAACATATGATGGCCTCATGCTGAACTGTAGAGAGCGCAGTGTCTTATCTAATATAATGGTTTTTATGTCTGAGAAAAGGGAGCAGGGTGTTTTTTTAAGACAACACTGGCATATTATGCAGTCTGCTGTCTCATGCTGTGTCTGTAAACTGAACACATGAACTCTATATCAGGGTTAGAATCTGAACAGAGTTTAATAACATCCAGAACTGGACTGAGCTGTGGGGAATCACTGCTACACACCACAAATGCTACTGAAATAATTCATTGTTAATTCATTAATTAAATGTTATTAGATGTGAAATCACTGCAGTTTAATGGTGTTATTTTTTTCCAATCAAATGTCTTGATTTTCTTATCGTCGTCTGTCCTGTTTCTCTCTGCAGGGAAGTGGGCGTACGAGGTGCTGATCTCCTCCCAGGGTCTCATGCAGATCGGGTGGTGTACTCTCAACTGTCGCTTCAACCAGGAGGTACACACACACACACACACACACACACACACACACACACACACACACACACACACACACACACAGATCACATGGCCACAATTACTACAACTATCCATTATTCTCATGTTCACATCATCCATTCATTCTTCAGGTGTTAGAGCATAAATACTTTCATATTTTTGAGTATTACCAATCAATAACTGAGTTCACAGAGTGTGAGTGTGTGTCACTGTACAGAAGATGAAACTATCTTTTTGTGTGTTCTCCTCTCAGGAGGGTGTGGGCGACACACCTGATTCATACGCGTACGATGGAAACAGAGTGAGAAAGTGGAACGTGACCACCACTAACTACGGAAAGGTGAGCAGCCATTCATTGGAGATTTATAATTTATATTCTGTAAATACACCTCGATGGCGAGGCTGACAGCTGTTTATTCCCTCAGTCGTGGGCGGCAGGAGACATCGTCAGCTGTCTGATAGACCTGGACGAGGGAACCATCACATTCTGCCTGTAAGTAACTGACTCAATTATATTTTTGGTTTGACATTTTGATAAATTTATAGATAGATATTTACTTTCTGACGGAGAGTTAGATGAGAAGATGTTCATAAGTGATTTCTAGACAAGCTGGACAGAGCCAGGCTAACTGTTTCCCCCTGTTTCCAGTCTTTATGCTAAGCTAAGCTAAGCAGCTGCTGGCTGTGGCTTCATATTTATTACACAGACATGAGAATGAGATCAGTCTGAACATCTGACTCTCAGGGAGAAAATAAAGGAGAGTATCAAAGTGTCAAACTGTTTCTTTAAATCAGTTTTTACATCACTGACATAGAACGGCACAAACACATTAGTGCTATTGACTGACATGTAATTGGAGGAAAAAAGAAACTATAATAAATTGTGAGACAATAAAATACAGGAATAGAAGAAAGAAAAAGAGGAAAAAAACAACGTACAGTTCATCCACCCCTCCTGCAGCTTTGCAGTTCATAGAAACTCGTCAGTTAAAAAAACAAAACCAGAGAAATGGTGAACGGTGGATGAACAATGTTTAATATAATAAGTATGTGTGTATTTCCACCCTACGGTAAAAACTTTGTCGGACCAGAGAGCAGCACGTTGTTTTGAATGATTAAATCAGTTACAGTCATGTAGTGTTTACATGATGGCTGTTATCCTCTGCGTATCTTCATGCTGTGTGTTGATGTCCTCAGGAATGGCCAGTCTCTGGGCACAGCGTTCACCAACATTAAGACGGGTCCAGGTGTCGCATACTTTCCTGCCATCAGCCTCTCCTTTAAAGAGTCGGTGGCTTTCAACTTTGGCAGCAGACCGCTCAGATATCCTTTTTCAGTCCTCAGGTGACAAACAGAATCTTATGCTCAATGCTTTCTTTCATTTTTATTCCTTTTTGTTTCATTTATGTATTTCTGTTTTGGACCATGTCCACACAGGGCAAGTTCATTTGATCATTTTTGTTTTTATAATAAAATTTGTCATTGAGACATTGGCTTTTAAAAAAGGCCTTTTGAAGTAAATTAAATAAAAATGAACTCGAATTAAAGACAGTTTTCATTGAAATAAAAAAAATTATGATAAAATAAGATTGAAATAAAGATGTTAGTTTTAATAGGTTTTTATTTTTTCATTTACATATTTTTTATATAATTTATTCAAGATTATTTCTTTCTTTTTTATTCATTTGACGTTGAACACTTCATGACCTCCATACAACCCAGCAGGTGTCTAGGGATAAAGGAAGCAGCAGATGCTGATGTGATTTGGCAAGCAAAGCCGTTTATTGTTCAGGTAACCGAAAATTAAAAATAACAAATGTCAAACTCTCTGGTCAGTAACTAAAAACCACAGAAAAAGAACTCAGCGAGGAGATCAGGAAGGATGGGAAGGGGCAGCGGGTGGCGCCAAATCATAAAACAAAATGAAAGCAGCTTCCTAACCCTCTGGATCCCCACTGGCTTCTCTACAACCGTTGAAATAAATAGTATAGATAAATATCTAACCGTCAAAGTTAACAATTCACACAATCCACATGAGTTAACACCACACGGAGAGACACACAGGCACTGATGCGTGTTTCCAGAAACTGATAACATAGGAAGGAGATTCTCAGGAGTATATCTTATTTTGTCCCCGCTGCACCACGGCTGTCTCTTGTTTCTAAGTGCGGTGTTTGTCTTTAACCGGAGTGTGATTCACATACCCCGTGGACGGCTACCTGCCCCTGCAGAACCCCCCAGCTGCAGACCTGATGAAAGCTCACAAACTGCTGGGCTACATCAAGAACGTCCTCTCCACCGCCATCGACACACAGGTGGGAACAGGAGCCGTTTCCTCAGCTAAACTTTTATTCTCCACCAGATTCTGTTCTGGGTTTGTGGTTTTATTTGATCACAGTCTCACCGACTTCACGCTTCTGCTTGTTTGGTTTGTGTGTAATTGATTAGCCAAAATTGAATTAGCTCTGAAACAAATAATTACTCTTTCACATTAATCAAACTGTAATTTCAGTTTTGTCCTTGGTTGTTTGTTTACAGAGAACAACAGCCGGCTTTCCCTGGAATGGAAGCCAGTTAATGTCTTGTTGTTTTTAATCAACGGCCTCTTTTCTCTGTCTGTTTTTTTCGTTCCTGTAGAAGGTGAAGTCGCGTACATGAGCGTGAGTACATGAGTCTTGTGCGTCCTGTGTTTTTGAAGTTGTTGTCTTTGTGTCCACGCTGCAGGAGGAGAGGCTGGTGGAGAAGGACTGTGCAGTGTGGAGGCTTCAAGGAGAACCCACCGTCCTCGTCACTCTGGCTCACATCTTCAACCACTTTGCTCCACTCATGGTGAAACAACTGAATCTCTATTGGTAGTTTGACACTGAATTAGTTTGTTGTAGAGGAACAGGGGTTTATAGAGTAGTCTTGGGTACAGGTCAGTTTCTCTGGACAGTTTATGTCACTGACAGTTGTCTGAACCAGCAGTAGAGGAGTTCATTACTGAATTGTGTCCTCTTGTGCCATCTGTTGGTCGTATCAAGCATGACACTGTCAGAGATCACAACATGTGTCTCCAGTGTAGTGTTGATGGTGAGACAATTATTGTGTCTCCACTTTATTTATATTTATGTTATTGATAATGTCTCTGCAGTGTAAAGTCTACCTGGTGGAGGATGTGCTGATGAACTTCCTGTTGGGGATTCTGGAGGGAGGAGGTTCGGTGGATGAACATCCGCTTATACAGCAACTTCTGGATCTCTTCTGGCTGCTGATGGAGGTAAACACGCACGCAAAGTGTAACATAATGCAGTTGTAACTGTTGGTGCACCACAGTCTACACAGTGTTTCTTAAAGAATCATCTCCACACCATGAACAGTTTTTAAGTCCCGGTTGGCTGATGTTTTTCCTGGAGAATGCTGATTCAGTAACCTGGTTACTGAAGTGCATGTGAAGTTGCTGCGTCTCATCTGAAGTGTCTGTTCTGGTAACAAATACAGACAAATAATGTAAAACACATCGTCATTTTTGGGTGTCAGTGTCTCAGTTTTTCTGACTTCATCTGCGTTTCTCTGCGTTTAATATGAGTTTAATCAGTGACAATGAAGTCCTCGCCTGGATCCAGCTGCTCAATGTATTCATCCTGCTCCTCCTTTTGTCTGTCTGTCTGTCTGTCTGTCTGTCTGTCTGTCTGTCTGTCTGTCTGTCTGTCTGTCTGTCTGTCTGTCTGTCTGTCTGTCTGTCTGTCTGTCTGTCTCTCTCTCTCTAGGACTATGAAGTGAACGAGTGCCTGAAGCAGCTGATGATGTCCTTGCTGAGGGCCTATCGCTTCTCTCCCATCATACCAGACCTGGGCTTCCAGGTAGGACATATAGATGAGCCGGAGCTGAGGTACGGGACCATACCTCTGTTCTGCGCTCTGGCTTGATCCTGGACCTGTGACCTACTTTGGGTTTGGGCTCCCAGATTGTGATTATCATGTCACTGAAATCCTAAATGGAGATCAGTTTAATGCACAGGCACAGCTGTTGTTGGCCTTTTGTCTGTTTATCAATCAAAGATAATCCTAATGATACAAAAACCAAATCAAACTTTCCCCTAAACACTACTCACTTGTTTTATTCCTGTATTTTCAGATCCACTATCTGCGTCTGACCACGGCCATCCTGCATCATGAGAAGTCCAGAAAATACCTGCTCAACAATGTCTTATATCCTTCTGTTGCTTCACTCTGCCGTCTCTTCAATCCACAGTTAAGGTGGAAATACTTTGTGATTGTTTTTTGCAGTTTATCCTCAAGTTGCTCTGACTGCACAGTTTGAATCAGACAGTCAGTACTGTTCATATACATGAGGTGAATTTTTAAACATCCAGTGAGTTACCTTGAAAGCAGAATTTTAGACAGTTGTCTCCTTAACGCAGGTTTACGTTTGATGTTCTGCGTTCAGTTGTGTTTTTTTACATCAAGACTCCTCTGAGAGTGAAGGAGGCGGGGCTCGAGGAGCTCATCCCGACCACCTGGTGGCCCACGCACTTTGACAAGGAGGTAAAACTGCTTTCTGCTACACCTGCCTGTTAACTTATGTTATGGGAAATGTGTTTAGCTTCACAGTTTATTGACTGATTGATTGTTTGGGGATTTGTTGACCTCTTTCTTCCACACAGGGTAAAGATGAGCGTGAGCCCAAAGATGAGAGTGCAGATGAACGTCTGAGGCGTCGAGCGTACGAGCGAGGCTGTCAGAGACTCAAAAAGAGGATTGAAGGTCAGACGTCTTCACATTTCTCTTATATTCAACTGTGTCAACTTCTACCTTTATTGTACATCTTCTATACAATCTAATCTGCAAAGTGTATGAGTTATTTATATTTTATAGGAGCTGCTGCTGGTTCATGTTGTGAAAGTAAAAACTGCAAACCAGTCACATGTCTGTCTCAACAATAACTGAACTAATGATGTGTGTGTGTCATCTCCTCTGCTCTGCTCTAGTGGTGGAAGAGTTGCAGGTTCAGATCCTGAGGTTGCTGCTCAATAACAAAGACAAAACAACGGTATGTGCACTTCATATTGTGTGTAAGAGTAGCTCCATACTTCCACACACACATGACGCATCGTTGCTCCACAGAATGTCACCAGTGGTTGTCAGTAAAAACCAGATTATCAGATTGTGTGCAGTTAGTCTTTAACAATACAGGGATAAATGGGCAACAGGGGAGAATGTGCAGAAACTGAGATCCAGATGTTTCCTGGGATTTTTTAATTCATTTTTCATGAAAAAAATGGAAGATTCTGTGTGTGTTTGTGAACTAAAGACTGTACAACTGTGTTGTATGTTGAGTTTGTTGAGGTTTTGCTCTGTTTTCTGTGTCCTGTTTGAGTTTACTTTGAGTTTATTAAATAGCTGTAGTCATCACACAGCAGCAGGAGGAATACATGTGTCTGCACACTGAGAGGAGAGCTGTCTGCATTTTACAAGTGAAGTTTTTCACAGCGGAGATGACTCCATTAATTATTTAAATCAGACAAACACTAACCTCTCTGTCATATTCTCAGGTGTCAGGATAACTCGGATGTTACCGATGGATCGTGTTCGACTTACGTCGTCCCCAGTTTAGATAAAACCAGTGGATTCAGTTTGAGATCTGGGTTTTTAATTCAGTTTGTGTCAGTTGAAAGGTCGTAACAGCAGAGCCAGTGCAGTAGACTTTAAGTGTGAGATGAGTTACGGTTCTTTTCTGTATTCTGGAGTCAAGTCCTCCTGCCTCTAAGGCAAAGGCTAAACATGTTCCTTTATAGACGCTTTTTATAATTTACCTTCTACCACGTTGATCTTTGCATCTCAAACTTATTCTACAACTGCCCTCTTCTAAGATGTTGTTTCTTTTTCGGCTGTGTTTGATCATTTTTACCTCGTCATCAGTGGTTAGTTTGTGTCATTCATGTTCAAGATCAGACAGACACTGCAGCAGCACAGGAAACAGTCTCACAGTCTATGACAAACTCCCTTTAGCTCAGTAGTCACATAGTGTGTGCTGTGTGTGTTGTTTCTGTCTGCGTACAGCCTATGGGGACGTTGTTTGACGATATCATCTCTATTATCTGATCAGTTTTCTCTGTGTGTCTTTCAGGGAGAAGCCTCTCGCTACATTTTCCTCAACAAGTTCAGAAAATTCCTCCAGGAAAACGCCAGCAACAGAGGGGTGAGCACAAGTTCAGCAGCTAGAGAGGAAACCGTAGGCAGCTTTTATTTGGATGTTATAAAGCACAAATGGGTCAGTCTCTTCTTGACTGACAGGTACTCCAGTGTATTTTAAAACACAGTATCTGTCAATCAAGGTGGGAGGTAACAAAGGCTATGGAACAGGCTAGATTGTTGATTTTTTTTAAGTTTGATTTATTTGCATCAAATATGTTTAGAACTGAAATGATTTAGTTGATTAATTCTTCTGAAATGTGATTTTTTTTTCTTCTGATTATTCTGTTATTAAATAAACAGTAAAGTGAATCTGTTTGGGTTTTGGACAAAGCAAGATGTTTGAGGACTTCAACAGAAATTTTATAGACCAACAATTAATCTCAGAAATAACAGGCAGATTAATCAGTGATGGAAAGTAATATTTAATTTCCACCCTGATCATGTTTGTAATAATTCAGCTCGTCTGTCCCTGAGGTCTCGTTCACACCTGTTGCTTCAGTTCAGTTGGTCTGGACCAGTAAAAAAACAGATCTATTGTCTTTGAGTTCTGGTCCGGTTCTTGTTCACACTGACTTTTAATTAACCAGCCCAGAGGAGTAAACACTGCTCAGCTCTGGACGATTAAATGTAACAGCACCTGTGAGGTAAATGTCAAGTGATGAAGTGATGGGAGTTTTTTTTAAACTATTCCAGCTTCAGTTTTTGTTTTTGTTTTCTCCATGAAGATAAAAGTATGTGTTTTGTGTGTGTCCGCAGCACCCGACAGCTCTGTGTCCTCCGGAGTACATGGTGTGTTTCCTCCACCGCCTCATCACGGCTGTGAGAGCGTGCTGGGACGAAGGGAACAGGAAGAGTCCAGGCAGCGTCAGCAGTGAAGGTACAACACAGAGCAGCGCTCAGCTTTATTCATGTGGTGCACGAGTGTGAAACTGACCACTGATGATTTAGGAGGTGGTGCATCCTTATGCTAGCATATATTTTGCCTTTCGTCTTTGTAATTAATTTAGATTACTTTGTAAAGGGCCTTTTAATGTTGATCAAATCTATTTTGTAAACTTCTCCAGTAGGTAGGTGAATACTTTTCATAGCTACTGTAATTTCTCAGTAAAAGAAATAATGTAGACGAAGAAAGAAAATTATCATCTGTCCGATACGTGCACTTGGTGCACTTGTGTTTTAAATGCAACATACTAAGGAAGTAAGTTCATTCACTTTAACCAGACTGTGTTTTAAACAAAGACAGTACGTGCCTGTATTAATGTCTAACGGATAAAGTTAAACCCTCCTCAGTAACAGCCTCTTCTTCTCAAAGCTTCTTCCTGCGACAAACATTAGTCCTTTATCCCCTCTGTGAAGACCAGGGCATTTTAATGGGGGATATTGCCATAAAATCCATAACTGCCTGTTGTGCATGTATACAGATTAAGTGTGTGTGTGTGTGTGTGTGTGTGTGCGCGCGCGCCCTTTCTGTTTGCGTTTTCCTCATGTCTGCTCCTCCCCTCTGGGGACGGTCTTATAATCACTGAAAATAAGGACGAGGTCGATGAAGCTCTTTGTACATTTTCTGCTCTTGGATGATAATGAAGGTTGTTAATGTGCTCGCTCTCTCTGCTCTGCCCTCGCTCCCCTGACACCCATTATCTCCACCTCTTGGCCTCTGTTTTATGTTCTGCTCATTGCCCTTCTGCCTTTTTCTGTTTATATCTGCACTTTGAATTTCCCTCCTTCCCCCTCATGTCACCCCTCTGATCTTTCTCTTCGCTCTACCGCCATCACCTCTGTCCTGTTTGTCCCAAACAAACACACTGCTTTGGTTCTTTACAAATCACTTATCTTACCTCCTACTCTCCTCTGCTATCTCCTCTTTTTCCAGAGGCCTATGTCCCTCCCCAACTCTTCTACAACGGGAAGGTGGACTACTTTGACCTGCAGAGACTGGGGGGGCTCCTCTCCCACTTAAAGAAAACACTCAAAGGTTGGTATGTCGTTGGTATGAATTTTAAAAAGGATTTCGGTAGTTAAACTATAAAAGCTGCAAAGGACTTAAAACGATTTTCTGTCCAACAGATTAAAACAATTACAACATGAATCCCATGCATGCATAATATAAACAGTAGCTGTATAGACGTATTCTGATTGTTCGGTTGGTTTGTTTGTAGTCGTATTCTCATTGGTTGGTTGGTTGGTTGGTTTATAGTTGTATTGTGATTGGTTGGTTGGTTTGTAGTTGTATTCTGATTGGTTGGTTTGTAGCCATATTCTGATTGGTTGGTTGCTTTTACACACCCACTCTTACCTACAGTTAAACTTTTGACATCGACTGATAGATGAGTTAAAGCTTTAACAGCGGCTGTTTCCAGCTTCATGTGTGGATCTGACCTTCAGGAGGAGAGCTGATCTCACTGATCCCTGCAGACTGGTTTCCTGCTTGGTCTCACTGAGCTCCACTAGAGGGAGGAATTGCTTTGTGTGTATTAGAAACACAGTTACAAACATGTACCGGTTCTTAGTGTGTACATACAATTCAGTACCTTCAGAAAAAGTCATGTTTTTGCATTTATTTTGTTGTTTGTTTAGGTTTTTTTTTTTTTCATTTTAATATATTTTCAATTACTTCTTAAATGCTTACAGTAAACCAGTGTAAACTGAATTATATATTTAAGCTGAAGTTATTAAAAATGATTCATGTGTAATGAATTCTGCTACTGACCAAGAGCGCACAGATGAAAACATTAATGTCAAATTACCGGAACGTACTCATTCATATCCTTTGCATGAATTAGTTGTTCACTGCAGCGCTAAATAACTTGTAAGGTAGCCTAACACTAGCAGTGCATAACAACAGTGAACATGTCATAACAGAGCAAAACAAATGGTTTTCTCCTGATGTTCTAATTAACTGAACGATCTGGTAGTGTAAAAAAATAACCCAAATATCTTGAGGCAACCAGGTTTCCCCAGGAGACTGGAAGCTGTACAAATATTAAAACTGAGAAAAAATACAAACAGTAAACCTCACTGGGTGAATGTTTCCATACAGAAGCTCTGCTGTGTTTGTCGAAGTGCGCGCTGTGTTTTCTTGTTGTCGTCAGCAGATGTGGGAGACAGGTGTGTAATGTGGATTGATATTCCCTCCGCAGACTCACTGTACGAGCAATCTGCTGTTCATTCACTGCCAGAGAAGACTGAGTGGGACGGCTGGAATCAATTATCTGCTGCAGCGGCTCATTCATTTCGATTTTTCCTGAGAGTAGAGCCGTTCTTCACTTTTATTTAGATTAGTGATGAGGGGGGCTGATGTTTCACATGTCCTTCAAACGTCACTCATCTTAATGGAGGAAAAACTTAACAGCTGAAGACAACAAAGACTGCTCACCATCAGGTTTATTTAAGCTGTCATAAACATATTTTTAGAGATGGAGTTGTCAGTCTGTGTGTGTGTGTGGGTATCTGAAAGTCCTATAAAGCACTGGGTTCAGTTCCTTCAGAAAAGAGGGTATTATAAAGTCTGAAATGTCATTTACAAAGGTCTCGAATATTTTTCTTGCCTGCTGGAGACAGTAAAGTTAGCTATAAATTTGACTGGGAGGAGACTCATCCGCTTATAATGGACATGATTTTTGCCAAAATGTAAATTAATAGATTGATGTTTTTAATTGGTTAATCTAATCTGCCTGGCCTGGATGGATTAGATGACAATGGCATAGACAAGTAAAATACCCCACCAAACCTCCCAGACCCAGACGCTGCAAGTGGTTGTGTTGTGTGTGGATGTTTTGTGTGTCTTTGTGGAAGTTTTGAGTCTTTTTTGTGTTTATAGCATGGCTGTAGACTGTCTAGGTCACATACACGTGCATGTTGTTGCTTAGTTGTACAGTTATAAAGTCAAAGGATATCTTTACAGATGTGATCCTGTTAAATATTGCAAAGGTGCTAAATGTAGATTTATCTTCTAATTTCAAGCTAAAAGCTACTTAATTATTGGTTGTCATGTAGGAAGTATGTTTCTTGAGGCAATTAAAAGTTTTCTACTGGGAAAGACTCACTGATCTGAAGTCAGATTCCCTGCTGATTTAGATTAGCTGAGGATGGTATTTGAAGGATCAGGGTCTAGATACGTGGTCTACGATAGTGTGTCTGTACTGATTTGGATCAAATTTATAGCGTGTCTACTAGCATTATTTGTGTGTGTGTCTCATTGAAATCGGGATCTCTTTTTCAAGAGAGACCTGTGTACAAAAATAGACATATACAGTTTGTACATAGTAAGACACACATAAATCCACAGGCATCAACATGGACACACACAGATAATTTACAGACATACATTATACATTTTCACATTTAAGAAAAGCATGTGCAGGTGTGATTGTAAATACATAAGTACAACCTTTTAAAATGTTCCATGTGATTATCACTGAGATTTGTTCAGAGGTCTGTTCCTCATGAAGAGAGCCCCTCTGTAAAACACTTCTGAAGCTCTGACAGGCTGTGAGCAGCACCTCACAAAGTTTATGATCATTGTATTGTGACTCCAGCAGAGTTTAGGAGGTCATTAAATAGAGTGTTTCATGAGGAACAGTCCAGTCTCCTCATTATCACTGACTCAAAAGTTGCAGTCCACAATGAAGAAGCCCCCTCCCTTACGTCAAGGACTTGGTTGTGACTCTCCTGCAAGTGACTCTGAGTTGTTGTCTGTTGGTTGCTGCTGATATAGAAAAAGATTATTGTCTTGATTCAGAAATAGAAGCTTTTAGAGACACACAATACCCTTCACGTTCTCTGGGGAGGTGTGACTTTCTTTCTTATCATCTAATGATTTGAAGAGAGTGAGACAATAATACTCACTGCCCCATGACTCAGTGTTGTGACACCGGTCTGCTCAATCAGAGAGCAGTTAGCCTGGCTCTCAGCAGCGGGTCAGAGGCTGTTCACATGACTCTATAGGGGTGAGATTGTTTCTCTGAAGAGAACATGGTGTTTGTGAAGACTTTTTGACCTGGTCCCTCTTCTAGACTGATGAACCCACCAGCTCATAGTGATGTCTGACTGGCCTGTTACTGCTCTGTCTACACATGTTAGTAGAAAGTAGTAGACGTCAATTCTTCGTAGTATGTGTTGGTGCCTGTTGGTGCTTGGTAGTGAGTATCAGTGAGTGTCGGTGTTTGTCAGTGTGTCAGTGAGTGTCAGTGTTTGTCAGTGTCTCTCAGTGAGTTTCAGTGTCTCTCAGTGAGTGTCATTGAGTGTCAGTGTCTCTCAGTGAGTGTCAATGAGTGTCAGTGTCTCTCAGTGAGTGTCGGTGTGTGTCAGTGTCAGTGAGTGTCAATAAGTGTCAGTGTCTCTCAGTGAGTGTCAGTGGGTGTCAGTGTCTCTCAGTGTGTGTCAGTGAGTGTCAGTGTCTCTCATTGGGTGTCAGTGTCTCTCAGTGTGTGTCAGTGGGTGTCAGTGTCTCTCAGTGTGTGTCAGTGAGTGTCAGTGTCTCTCAGTGTGTGTCATTGAGTGCCAGTGTCTCTCAGCGTGTGTCAGTATGTGTCAGTGAATGTTAGTGTGTGTCAGTGTTTTGGTGTGTGTCAATGTCTGTTGGTGTGTGTCAGTGAGTGTCAGTGTCTATCAGTGTGTTGGTGTGTGTACACACACTTTTACTGTCATTTCATTTCTTCAGGTCATCTTCTTCTCTGTTTCCTCCCACTCATCGTTCACTCTCAGCCCCTCCACTTTCTCTTTTTGTGATATATCATTTCTCTCTTTTTTCTCCACCTCCTCTCTCCACTCTCTCTGCTCTCCCTCTCTCTCTTTCCCTCAGTCCCTCATTTTTTTCCTTCCTTCTCTCATCAGTATTCGTGTCCAGCCTGCACTTCTCTACCTGCATTTAATCAAGGCTTGATTAACATCCCCCATCATTTAACTCTATAAATCACTGGGCCATTCATCACCCGCTAGCAGCTCTTATGATGTTGTGTCATCTGTTGTTAACTAAGGTTGACCCCATTTATTGATCAGCTCACTGATCAATTTGATTGAATGCCAGGCAGGCTTTTCCATCTGCATGAAGTACACAGGAGAAGAAGGAAATAAAAAAGGCAGGGTTTATCAGCAGAGGGGGTTTACTGGCTTTTTGATTGAATTTAGTTTGTGTTTTAGGATCTCAGTAGTACTTGCGTTGGTGTTTCTTTATTGATAGATTGAGAGCTGTAGCAATGACTCCATTGATTCGTTAGTTGACACAAAATGTCACACAAAAAAGTCTCCAGAGATGTTCCTTTGGTCTGGAGTCTGGGTCCTGGCTGAGCCACTCAAGGACATTCACAGAGTCACTCCTGTGTTGTCTTGTGTGTGTTTAGAGTCAATGTTCTGTTGGAACATGAACCTTCAGCCCAGTTTTCTTTAAGGACATCTCTGTACTTTGATCTGTTCAGCTTTCCCTCAACCCTGATCTGTCTGATGCTGATACTGATGTTGATGCTGCCATCACATGCTTCACCGTTGGGATGGTATTGAGCAGATGATGAGTGGTGCCTGGTTTCCTCCAGAAATTATGCTTAGATTTTAGGCCAAACACTTCAATCTTGGTTTCACAAGATCAGAGACTCTCCTTTCTCACAGTCTGAGAGTCCTTTAGGAGCTTTTTTATAAATAGTGCTGCAGTGATGTTTTTCCTTCTGGAAGTTTCTCCTGTCTCCACACATGATCTCTGGAGCTCAGCCAGAATGACCATGAGGATCTTGGTCAGCCAGCTCTAGGAAGAGTCCTGGTTGTTTTACTCCTTAGGCTGAATATCTTTTCTGTGCAGTTTAGTAGAACTTGACAACAACAAATCAAGAAAATGGGTTTTTACTCAGATGAAGTTAAATCTGTTGTCGGTCTGTCTCATGTGTTAGGACTGAACATGACGTCTGACAGGAAACAGGGATGTATTTTTGACGTAAGAGTTGAACGGTGAACTAATCAAAGTGATAACTGTTTGTCTGTTCTTCTTCTTCTTTTGATGTTTTTTCTTTCATGTTCAGTTTGTGTTTTTCTGACGCAATGATGCAATCGTGGCTCAGAATAAGTCAGATTTTCTCTTTCCCTTCTCTTGCACGGAAATAAAAACTTTGAATCAAACTGAGGCGTTGCTTTAATATGATAAATGTCTTTTCTTTAATCTACCAGATGACTTGGCCAGCAAAGCCAACATCATCATCGACCCCGCAGAGATCCAGGCCACGTCTATGGACGACCTGGACGAGGATGAGGAGAGCGGAGCAGCACAGGTTTGTGTCCGTACTGTATTATTAGGCAACTTCTTTCTTCTAATTGCAAAAAAATGATATAAATCATACAAAAACCAGTAAACATCTGTCAACCAACAAGGCTCATTAGATAAGAATCAAAAATCTTCAGGATTATAACTCAGGCATAAACATTATCATTTGATCAGGGAGAGCGTCTTATACGTCTTAATATTGACTCATTTTCCTTCCTGATAGTTCGTGTTATTTCATTGTTTTTAACATCAGAGGCCGTTTGGTGCAGCAGCAATGGGTGGAGCTCTCGCGAGGCCCAGCTGGTTGAGCTCTCCCACTTTGGGTCGGGCCAACCGGTTCCTGAGCACGGCTGCTGTCAGTCTCATGACCCCCAGACGACCCCTCACTCAGCCTGAGAAAGTGAAGGTTCGCACCCTCGCTGTGGAGCAGAGGACGGAGGAGGACAGTGAGTAACTAAACATTACACTGACTGAACAGATGATATTTAGGTTTCTGTGTCTCATTTGAAGTTTTGATATCCGTAAGAAGAGAATTTGATATTGTGAACCTAATATCAAATTTGCATTAAGATTACTTCATTTCTTTTTATTTTAGTTTTACATTTCAAAATCAGATGAATGCTTCATGATATTATAAGACAGTCAGAGACTTATTGTCCGAATCATGTAAACAAAAAAAGTGGATTCAACTACGTCTGATCTTTAGTTTGGTATCCATGGAAACAGCTGCCATCAACTGCTGTCGAGACATGTACTGTATATCTGAGGAGTTTGGCATGAAGCTCTTCTCTGCTGAGAGGTTGAGTGGACCCTCTTCCTGTTGTGGATCATATGCAGTGTAACCAGTACTCTACACCTGTACTCCCTTATTTCTGTCAACTTTTTCTTGTTTGTTTCTCTTCTGTTCAACCTGAAGTCGAGGGAAGCCATGGTAACGACGGCCTGTTGCTGGGGCGACCGCTGGAGGAGCCCGATCAGGCAATAGCAGACAAGTCCCTGTTGGAGATAGTTGATGGGATCGTGATGATGTACAACCTGAGCGTTCATCAGCAGCTGGGAAAGGTGAGTTTTCTCTTTGTTGTGTTTTGTCTCTAAGCTGAAGCCGCTGAGCTTCACGGTGTCACAGAACAACAGTTTGAGTTATTAAATCCAAGGGTCCGCTTACTTTTTCCACCGGCACTGCAAATGTTTAATGGCTGTGTTCAACAAAGACATAAAATATTAAAATTGTTTGCGTGATATTACCTTAAGGACACTTTATTTGTCTGTATCTGTGACTGAGATCACGATTTACGAGCAGTTAACACAGAAGACCAGGTCACTCACTGACTCTCTGCCACTGTACGAGCTGTTTGCCAGTTGGTTGTGGCTGCGCTACTGAGCACGCCGTGACATTCAGATGAAACCGCCTATGAAGTGTGTGAGGTCAGCCAGTGTAGTTTAGCCCAGGCAGATATAATGTGGATGTGAGGCCTTGTGTTTTGATTGTGTACCACGGGGCTTCACATAAATTAGAGATTCTGCCTCTGAAAATGAGTCTCTCTGCTCGTTCCTTGACAGCGTTGTGTTTAAACCCAGGCTGGAGGAGCATATTATGTGAAGTGAGCATCTGTCAGGATATAAACACAAAAGGTTAATGCTGCATATTTTATTCATATGTAAGAATGTGACCTTCGCATGGAGGCTGTGTCTGCGGCTGGATAAACTCTGAAATGTGACTGTGAAGTCATTACGTCATCTGCTGCGTGCTAACTGATGTGAATACATTCAGTCACAATAACAGTGAGGCTTTCCAAATATCCTCCTTCTTACAGCTGCTGCATCTACTGAATAAGTGATGAGCTGGAATTTGAGCCAAGTGCGACAGCAAGTATTTATTTTACAGTAGATGAAGAGAAGTCTAAAGATACGACATCTCAGAGCCACGTGCTGTAAATCACTTATTCCTGTGTAAACTTTGTGTAATAGAACCTTTAAAAATACTCGATATTCTGAAAAGTGACAATTAAATAACATAAATAACATTTAAACACAAGTACTGTACTTATAATATAATTTTGAGCTACTTCTTCTTTTCCATTTGAGGTACTTTACACGTGTACTCCCACATTTCGCAGTGACATATACAACATTTATCTGCCAGCTGCAGTGACCGGTTGGTTTCCAGGTAATTATGTGGGCCAGGAGTATTCAATTAGTTAAATCAATTAGTTAAATTAATTAGTTAAATCAATTAGTTTGAGCAAAGGTCCATAATACTTGACCTATTTCTATATATACATTCATATATATATACATACGTGAACATTGATTTTAATTGAATTCCCCAATAGATTTTGTGCACATTAGCTCCACCATGACACCATTAAAATCCTGCTTACATGTGCACACTAATGCATGAATATATGATAAATATAACTCTCTGATTTGGGGTATTTTGCACAATGAGAACTCTGACTTTTACTTCTGTAAGTATTTCAGTGTTTAATCAGCAAACTTTTACATTTAGTCAGGAAGGAAACCTGGTTTGAAAAGAAAAAACACAGAAAAGATTAAAACTCAACTGTAGAAAGAAAGAAAGAGAGTAAATTTCTCAGTCTGTTTGACTGTGTCACATGCATCTACTCTTTAAATCATATCTCTACTTTCTCCACCTTGTTCCACTGCTCACTCTCTGCTGCTCTGACCCTCACCTGCTGCTTTAGATTCTTCAGAGCCGTCACTTTTATCATAAACTGTCTCGGGGATTATTGAAGTGCAGAAGGAAGCTGTTGCTGTCTCATCCGCCACGCTTTCCTGATATAAGTCCCATAAACCTTTTTATATGGAAGCAATGTTGTTGACTTGAAAATGAGAATTGGAAACAAGTTTGTGGAAAAAAGGACGGAGCAGTCATTTGTTGTAGCTAGTGTGTGTATCAAGATGAGTCAGTGATGCCAAAGTGCTGCTGTTTTGAGTTTCAGCGAGGTCCAGAGTGTTTTTGAAGAATATCTGCTCAGACTGAAAAGTTGATGGACGACCACAGACGTGATGCCAGAAATAATGATATCTGAAAAACTGTCTCGGGTGCACCGAGGGGAAATCTCTTTTTATGAAATTCACTGACAAATAAAAACTGTTGGTGGTTTTACTTTTGAAAAGATCCTCACTTTACCATCAGTGCCACAGTGCTTTAAACCCTCCTTTAATTTCAAATGGTTTCATGGAGGCTGTTGTACAGACTGTGGATTCAGACTCTGGAATAAACTCAGTCATGATAACTCCTCCACTCTTATAAACAGTCTTCAGTGGTTGGCCGCTGATTGTGCTCTCATGCGGCTCTGGCTCTCTTGGGTGAACGAGTCACTGACAGATGTTAGCAATGCTCTTTATCAGACAGACGGCTGGATGCCTTTGTCACCAAGTTTAGTGAGAAAGCTCCTAATTTTGGTAACGCTGGTCTGAAGCCTGAACTTGAGTCTGGACTCTGTGGAACAGATGAAAGACCTGACCCAGGAGATCTAAGAGGCAGGACAGGACAGGAAGGATTTAAAGGTGCCTGGACATGTGAAGCCTGGTTGGTCTGCTGTTTGAAGCTCAGTGTGGCGTTGCTCTCTTAGATAAAATAAAAACAGGCGTAGTCACAGGTGGCAGAAGTGTATTTACGAATAGGGGAAAAAAAACTCTCCAAGCTAACTCCGACTCCTCCACCTCGAGGAGTCCCTTTAACTGTGCAGAGCCCCTCTCAACAGACCGGCTGAAAAACATTTTGTGTTTGTGTGTGACATTCATGCTCTTTTATGTGAATGTATTTCTGGTGATTAAATACGAACCAATATTTTAGGATTTTTGCACCCAGATAAATTAATTATTATTTCTTTTACATCAGTCCCTCCTTTCCCTCCTTCCTGCTCTATCTATATTCTTCCATGATCGTTTCACCTCTTTTTATTTCCCATCTCATCTCCCAGTAATCCTCCCAGATTCTTGTTTGCTGCTGGAACAGAGATTGTCCTTCCTGACAGCTCGGCCTCTCGACCTCTCCCTTATTGTCTCGTCCTGTTTCTAATTTAAAAATACAACCCAAAAGTGCTGCAGGTGGTCGCAAGCTTTATAGCGCCGTAATGCTGTGTGATGATTGCACTGTTTGGAAATGTGCTGCTCAGTGTTGTGAGTTTTATGTTTTTTATGATATAGGTAATATATACTCTGTGCCTGCCTCTGTATTGGTCATCATTGGTCCGCATGACTGTTGGGAGGAGGCGTTTATTCTGCAGATTTATTCTGCAGTCTTCGTTTCTGTGAGCAAAGATCACTAAAACTTCACTTTATCAGTGTTTGGGATGGTAAAAAGCCTCTTTTTTTGAATAGTGACACGTTTGTTTTCTCACTAAAATCTCTGTAAACACATGACTGTCTCTCAAAAAGATCGAGAAACTCCTGAAACTAAACGAGAAGAGCTGTGGTTCTGTTAGCAAGCAGACGACTGGTGATAAGAGAGTTTAACAGAGAGTCCGAAGACTTTGTTTTACAGACTCTGAATCACAAGAAATATTCAGAAAGTGTCTCAATAACAAAACGTTGTGAAATAAAACTGAATAAAAATTAATTTTATTTTCTTAACATTGTGAAACTTCTTGTCGACAGGTACAGAAAAAAAAAATCAAGCACATTTTTCTACATATTTAAGTTTAGTCATTGTCAAATTTAGAAATAATGGTTACCATCATAAAGCTAAATAATACACACTGGTAAAAGATCCAAACGAGGAGAATCTGTCGGCCCTTCATGAGTGTTTGTCTTGTTTCCCTCCAGATGGTGGTGGTGTCAGACGACGTGCACGAATACGCCGTGGCTCTGAAGGACACGGAGGAGAAGATCGCTCGATGCCCCGCGCGGGTCAGTCACGCTCAGTAATGGTTCCCATTCATTTCTTTCATGATTTAATTTCTCTGGGGATTGTCAAGGTTAAGTGCCTTTCTCTTCAGTATCAGCCACTATATAAACTATTTGCCGATGGTTGTGTGAACCGGTTACAATCGCATCTTTTGCTTTGTCGGTGCTCAGTCAAAGATAATTGGCTGTGCTCCAGTCAACACTCCTGTCAGCCAGTTCTAGTGGCTTGTCTCATTAGCATCATGCGGGGCACAAGTGTCACCAGCAGCTTAACAGCATCATGAGTGGAGGAGTCGGTTCTGCAGTCATTTATTTACTAGTACAGAGTGAACCAATAAATATATCTGCAGGGCTCCGGGGGAAGAAAACAGGTGAGATGGTGGTTCTTTGCAGAGTCCAGGTGTTGGTTATGAAACTGACGTGTATTTGTGTATTGCATTGTCTTATCACAATAATGCAGTGAGTGTGCAACAGAGCCAGCCACTTCTATCATTATGCAAATTGTAATAATTGTAATTAACACTAGCATTAGCACTGTGTTGCTTTGATTTAGAACAACGCACTCAACACTAGAAAAGAGTCTCCATATATTTTCGATGCCAAAATTTCCTGTTCCTTTAGGATGGTGGAAGGAGGTTTTCAGAAAGTTGCCAGGCCGCAGGTTATTCCTAACCTGTCAGAGCTTTCAGTGGATTTATGATATTAATACCTCTAACACAGTGATAGGAGGGAGACCTATGGAGGGGCTCAGTGAGGAAGCAGGTGGAATATGAAACCCAGCAGAGCATGAATTTCAATCAGTATCAAAGGGAATATCATCTTCACAGCCGCAAATATTAATATTCTTGTAGTGACGTGGGGAGGTGAGGATACACGCTGAGCTCTGTGCCGACAGTCAGATCAGCTTCCACATACTTTTCCGTCTGCACCGTCTCCTCACAGTCATGGATAAAACACACAGACTGCCAAAACTGTGTCTGTCCCGCCGCACTGAAAGACCACACACAGGTTTCGATTCAGTAGACCGGAAGAAAAGCAGCGTCACCAGGAGCTGAAATGATTTGTCTGATGTAACGTTTGTTTTCAAGTATTCCTGTGCAGGGAGGAGGGAGGGAACATCTATACAAACGTGTGCTGCATCAGATTTATCACCACACACTGACCACGGCATCATACCTCATCTCTTATTGTCACCTGTTCTTACCTAGCTAATGTTACGTTTGTCTTTCCCTTTGTCTCACTTCCCTCATCCTTGACTAGAACTTGATTTGGGTAGTTCTCTTCTGCTTTTCCCTGCCTCCTTATCTGTAAGACCTTGGTTTCCCCAGCTATGGAGGATAGTAGCGGCTCCATCTGGACACTATTTTGTAGCCCCACACTAACAATCCAACACTAAAAAGAAGAAAGCTCCTGCACAAACATGTTATTTCCCACACAGCTTTACCTTTCTGTTTCCCTCAGTAACCTGCTTTTCTTCACAGCAGCTGCAGTCCGGTGTGATACGCAAACACACACAAGTACACAGCTTAACGCCACTACCTCTCCGTTAGTGTCTCGGCCCTGGTGGGAGCCGGGCACAGGTGTCCTGTTAAACTGAAAAATTGCACCCTGACAGTAATTTGTGACAGGCTGAGTAAACATCTTTCTGCATGTTGTTTCCCGCAGAGACCCGACATCCTGGAGGAGCTCCAGAAAAGCCAGAAGGTGTTTGCAGAGAAGCTGAACCACCTCAGCAGGAGACTGGCCTGGATCAACGCCACCATCTACTCCAAGGTGATCCAGCTTCCTGATCCAGTGTTTTGGTGTTTGCCTCGTTGATTCCTGTCATTTCTAAAGTGTTCAGTGATTTATCTCACTCTCCCCATCTGTGTGTGTCCGTACAGGAGAAGATGTTGGATGTGTACTGGCTGCTGTGCGTTTGTATTCGCACCATTGAACACGCCGACAACACCGGCTCCTTGTTCGCCTTCGCTCCAGAGTTCTACCTCAATGTCGCCATGAATGCATACAGCGCCCTTAAGAACTACTTCAGCCCCGCAAACAGCATGGAGGAACTGCCAGGTAATGGCGCCATGTTACATTCATTAAATCTGTCACACGTTAGAATCAGTGTTTGATTTTATGATTCTGCTCTTTTAAAGCTACAGGAAGTGTGATGTAAAATCATGTTTCTGTATGAAGGAACTAATGTCAGTCACACATCAGAGGCAAAGCTTAAAAGCAGCGTCTGAACCAGGAAGTAAAGACAAGAAAACAGCAGAGCAGCGGTTTACAGCAGCTGCTACAGATTCATGAAGCACACTCTCGCACCGATGTGTCCAGCGTCGTCATCACTTGTGTGTCGCAGACAGTGTGTCGTGTCAGGTCTTCAGTGTGCGCTGAAGTGAAGTCCAGGTTGACGCTGATGTTTGCTGTCAGCTGAAGATCAGAGTGATGAATGTGTTTTCTCTTCGTAAGCAGAACTTCTTTTTTTTTTTATCCCTTCAGGCTACGAAGAAACATTGACTCAACTAGCTGCTATCCTTGCTAAGCACTTTGCAGATCCACGCATAGTTGGAACAGGTAAAACACACACACGCTGTACACACACACATTTGGGGTGACTTTTTGCAAAGTGCTCTACAGATAATAATTCTTTTATTATTATTATTTATCAGAGCGTCTTTAAATGCATCTCTGGAATCTGTCCTGTATCTGATGGTTTAAGTGTTTAATGGGTCTAAGTGTTGTGGCTTTCTCTGCTGTCTTCCTCACAGATATCAAAGACTCTCTAATGCAGGCACTGGCCAGCTACGTCTGCTACCCACAATCCCTCAGGGCGGTGGAGAGGATCCCCGAGGAACAGTGAGCGTCTTTATTTGCTTTTCTTCTGTCTTAATTAAAACCACTGATGTTAATAATTTCAGATCAGTCTCAAAGGTTTTATATCGGCCGCTGCTTTAGGAACTTGGAATCTGGTTTTAGGTGAAAATCAGAGACACTGAGACTCTGCAGGTTAATGAATGAATCGAGAACAGATTTACTCAGAATATGGTGCAACACAAATGCGCACTGTGACTTCTCAATATATTTATGGCTGCAGTCTGCATGTGTTTAACTCCTGATTTACTACGACAGCAGTTCATTACTCTGAGAGTGACGGAGAGCTCAGCAGGCACAGTTCAGTGCTGGGATTTTATAAAATCAATGATAATATAGTGATACTGACTCCACACCATCCACCTCAACCTCAGTTCAGTGTCACATGAGGAAAAAAATAAATAAATAACTGAAGTGAAAAATCATCAGGATCCTCAGTGACTCCTCATCAGATATGGAAACTATTCTCCACCTGTGTCACGTCCACCCGACACACACCTGTACAATCGGACAGATGGTTTGGTCTAATTCTGCCTCCTGTTCGTCTCACACTTGCATCAGTTCACATCAGTTATCTTTCTCAGCAACACGATTAAAGTTATTAGACTCTGTGTTGACGAGATATGTGAGACCAGATGTCTCAGAAAATGAACAGATGTTGCATTTTAATGCTGCCACCTCCTCTCCGAACTTTTCTAAAACCCTCACGTGCCTGACTCACGCTCACTGTTCACCTCGGTACCCGATCTTCTTGCACTTTGTCTTATTGAATAGATTTAGTCCTTAGTACTTACTCCAATGTCTCCTACTGCACTGAAGCTCAGTTGTAAGTGGCTTTGGATAAAAGTGTTTGCTAAATGAGTAAATATAACTCTCTCCACTGAAGGTGTTTTATATTATATGAGGATATGAAAAAAAATCTGTGTTAAAATCTGTGAGAAAATAAGAAAAATAAAAAAATAAATAAAAGCTAATAAAACTAACAAATTAGGAAAATGTATAAACGGTGGTGAAACTGACATAAAGAAAACAACCTGTTATTTTCTTTGAGACTTTTTTTTGGTCAGTTTCCACACATCATGAATCCAAGAAACCAAATGTAGTGTTACATGTTCCTGTTCACCGGAGCACAGGCTGTTCTTTGATGATGTAGCTGCAGGAAACAGGAACTCAGGTGCAGGTGTAAAATCCCAGCTCTGATCTATGCTGTGATTTCAGACGTGTCGCCATGATGAGGAATCTGCTGGCTCCATATGAACAGAGACCCTGGGCTCAGACCAACTGGATCCTGGTCAGACTCTGGAGGGTGAGCGCGCACACACACACACACACACACACACACACACACACACACACACACACACACACACACACACACACACTAACCAGCATCAGCAATCTAAATACTACTGGTTTAACTGGGTTAACTTTACCCTGTGACTGTGGGAGGGGCTCTGGGTAAAGGGGGCCCAAACTTTAGCAGGCAACTGTATCAGTGTGTCAGTGTGTGTGTGTCGGCTGATGAGTCCATCACACAGTTTGTCACCTGAGACACTGACAAGTTGATTCTGACGCTCAGTCTGTATCTGGGTCACGATGAAAAAACTAAACCTGTTTATATTTAAATATCTGATAACTCCCCCACATACCGACACCAGCAGTCCAGTGTGGGTCAGTGTGGGTCAGGTTATAACGGTGTTTGGTGTGTGTGTCTCTAACAGACGTCTGAGCTCTGTGCTCCTGTTTTTCAGGGCTGTGGTTTTGGCTACAGATACACTCGCCTGCCTCATCTCCTGAAGACCAAACCTGAGGACGCCAACCTGCCCAGTCTGCAGAGTAGGTGCTCTCTGTCTCTCTCTGTCTCTCTCTCTCTCTCGCTCTCTCTCTCTCTCTCTCTCTTTCTCTCTCTCTTTCATGTGTTTCTTGGCTGCCATGTTTTGCCCCCTGGCTGTTTCTTCTCTCTCCCTCTCTCTCTCTCTGTCCCTCTCTCTCTCTATCTCTCTCTCTCTCTGTCTCTCTCCCTTTCTTCTCTCTCCCTCTCTCTCTGTCCCTCTCTCTCTCTCTCTGTCCCTCTCTCTCTCTGTCTCTCTCCCTTTCTTCTCTCTCCCTCTCTCTCTGTCCCTCTCTCTCTCTCTCTGTCCCTCTCTCTCTCTCTCTCTCTCTCTCTCTCTCCCTCTCTCTCTCTCTCCCTCTCTCTCTCTCTCTCTCTCTCTCTCTCTCTCTCTCGCTCTCTCTCTCTCTCTCTCTGTCGCCCCCCCCCCCATCGCCCATGTGTTTCTTGGCAGCCATGTTTTGCTCCCTGGCTGTTTCCTCTCTGTGTCGTCCTGTCTGTGGGCAGCAGGGAGGCTCAGCTGTCTGTCAGTGTGAACGTGAATGAGTGTGTGTTGAACTGTGTTAGCTCTGTGGTGGACCAGTCGACAGTCCAGGGTGTCTGCAGACTTGTGCGTTTTGTGTTGCTGGGATCATTTCCAGTCGTTCAGTAGAATTAAATTGAAACGACTGAATCAATAATCTTGTTTGTTTTCTTTGTCTCACTCTCTCATGCTGTTCGTCTGTTTCTGACTCTGTTTGTCCCTCGTGTTTTCTTCCTTCTGTTCATCCCCGTCCCTTTTTTTTCTTTTGTTTTTTTGTCTTAGAGAGAAACAACTTTATTCTAAATTTTTTTTGAGAGTGTTCCTGGTTCAGATCAGAGTCCTGGTTTTTCCTTCATGAATTTCCATAAATAAATTGAGGCCACGGCTGCATGTCGACAGCAGCTTTATTTTTACTACATCACTGTTTGATTTACGGCTTTAATCATCGGTTTGTGTGTGTCCGTTGTGTGTCCGTGTGTGTGTGTGTGTGTTGTGTGTGTGTGTGTGTGTGTGTGTGTGTGTGTGTGTGTGTGTGTGTGTGTGTGTGTGTGTGTGTGTGTGTGTGTGTGTGTGTGTCCGTTGTGTGTGTCAGCTCACATGAGAAGGTTTTAAAAGACGTGAACGACATTTCTTCTCAAGATGTGAGTGTTGTTGAAAGTTGTAATGGACGCTTTTATACAGACGGAGACCAGCAGTTTATTTTAGGAAGCAGGAGGGAGATGGAGACACACACACACACACACACACACACACACACACACACGCACACACGCACACACACGCACACACACACAATGCTAACTTCCATTAGTCCCTGGTGTTTTCTGACCATTATTATATTAGAATGACGTAAAACCACACCTGGTATAATCCATAAAATGTATCAAGTTCTTTCAGTGACTACAGTTCATTAGTTATGTTCGTTATTGAGTTGTAAACATTAAGCCATACAAATATATACCCACATCAACCTGCAACAAACGTCACACTGCACAGCTGTATCATCAAATAATAAACAATATAAATGGACGTCATCTTCAGTTTCACCTTAATCACATAACAAACAGCCACTTTTCTTCATAGAGACATTAATGTATTATTATTACAGTGTCTGTGTTGTAAGCACAGAGGTAATATGGATACTGAGCCCCTCCCCCAGCATGATGTCATGTTCCTTTGATAATTGAATGTAGTGTTAAGCATTTTTCTGCCGTGTCTTTGTCCTATTTGGATCAAAGCTCTTCCTGCTCCTGTTTCTTTTTTTCCTCTTCGTTGTGATTTTCTGCTTCTTCTTCTCTCCTGCATGATAACTGACTGTCATCTGTGTGCCTTCTCATCTGCATGCCTTTCAGGAGATCTGTCCATTGCTAGTTTCCAAAGTAAGTTATTCATTCCACCACTCCCATCTTTGTTCAGCGCTCGCTGCTGTCATTTATTTTTGCTGTGACCGTTTTGTTAGCGGTGTTGAGTGCACACCCCCACCTGTCCCACGCTCCTCAGTCTGATGAAGTAGAACCTGTAGAGAGCAGTTTTTCAGGACCCCACTTTCCCAGGAGAAATTCAACACAGTGCATGTGATTATGTGACTTCCCATTATCAGCAGAAATTGTGATTGTTTTGTTTTGTGTGCCGTGGCCCTTTAGCTCTCATCCATATCCCCCTCCCTCTGGGTTCAGTGGGTAATGAGTAATGATTTATTATGGTTAGTTGGTGGAACGACATACACAGACATGCACTGTAATAAAACCAGCCCCTTTTACACAGCCTGGTCCATGCAGGAATGTTGGGCCCTTTATTCTTCCCTGACGTTCAGAATAAAACGTACGAACATAGATTTGGGGGAACGTTGTTGTTATGTATTTATTGGCAGTTATAGATTTCCCTGTATATAAAGGAGTTCAAAGCAGCTCCACCTGGAGAAGCTACAACAGTAAAATGCTGCTGAAGCAGAGGAGGAGTTATTGAACACTTGACTCCACAGAGCTCCCATCATGTCTCTCAGAGGAGGGAGGAGCTCTGCAGAGCTTCCCCTCATCTTTTCCACACGCTTCTGTTTGTCCTCACCCTCCTCATCCTCCTCTCCTCTGTGTGTTTACATCTGCGTTGTCCTCCCTGCTGTGTCCTCCTGTGTACTCTCATGTAATCCCTCTCCTATACTCTCTCCTCTCTCTCTAGTTTTCCTCTGACTTCTGACTCACCTGTTGGTTCTTCTGTTGTTTTAACAGACTGACACGAGCGATTGTCTCCTCAGTTATATTGTATTTACCTGCTTCGTCCCCGCCCCTGCGTCCTCTCCTCTGATTAGACTTTGAACCCAGAACCCAGTCCCTCTTTTGGTGTGAGGGTAAAACGAGACCTGCTGCTCCTCTGAGAAATGATGGACATGCTGTTAAAATAAAAGCTTCTGCTCTCTGTTGACCCGTTTCCTCTCATCTGATTGGTTTAGAGCCGTGTCCGTCGCTTCTGCTGCAGAGACACATGGCGCAGCTGCTGAGTATGGACAAAGACATGGCCGCCTCGTTCCTCAACAGTGTCCTGAACCAGCTCAACTGGGCCTTCTCCGAGTTCATTGGCATGATCCAGGAGGTAAGACAAAGCATACCATGTTACTGCATAGATAAACACACATTACAGTGTATATGAGCCCATGTTTACTGTCTTAGGAAACATTGGGGTCAGTTTGTAACAAAGGAGCCATTGGTGGGAAAGGGGGGCCAAATACATTAATACATTAATATCAGATTGAAGAGATTTCATCACAGTTTGTAAAATATCTAGACTCATGCAGAAAAGAAAACCAGTTTGAAAAAGGTGTGATTCATGTCTGTCTCCACTGTTGAATGGTCAGTGGGAGAGAAATGTGTGAAATTAAAAGAGTCACTGATGTATCATTGCTCTCCTTTAACATTGTCAGACATTAATTCACATTGTCTTTTTATATATTTTCAGGAAAGTTGCTTATACTTTGCTCTAAGTCGGGTGGAAACGGGACTACAGTTTTCCACCTATCCACATGTGGATATGGTTTCCATAAAAGTTTCAGCAGTATTTCCATCACTTGGCTTCACAGATACTTCAGAGTGATTGGAAATAGCAGCATTATCAACTGACTCAGAGGTGGTGTTAAAGAGGTTAAAGGCCCATTCAGTGGTTTTTCATGTTTAAGCCAAATAACCTCCATCTGCTTACACTGTCAGTCATTTACCAAAACATTCAGCCATGTTTCAGCTTTTGTAATACTTTCCTGTTGTCAGACCTTCACCTCAGCACCTGCATGCAGCACCACGCTGCCATTTTGATATGATTTAATGTGAAGTAGGTTTAATGAAAACTAGCGTTTTTGATTACGATGCATTAACCGTGGTGAGAAAGTTTCATGTCTCAGTGAGTTCGTTTTGATTTCGCACTAAAATGAGCTGAAACCATCGAACCTCGTTAGAAACTGACATCAACACTTCCATACGTCGGGAGATGTTTGTCAGGAATGTGACTCATGTAACAGCAGTCCAGGTTTTCTGGGCTGAATCCAGTGGAGTGATCCTTTAAAGACAACTTGACTAGTTGGTAGAGTCAGATGCAGGATGAAGCCCACATGTAAAAACAGAGTAAGGCGTGCTCTTTGTTTCCCTCTAATAAGATTATTTTGGCTTTTGGATAAATCCTCAGTAAGACTCTGAATCATCAAACCTCACAGCACTTAGTTTTCTAATTGATCACATTCCTGTGGGAATATCTGTTATATGCAGCACAGCAGCATTAGTTGTTGTTTCCTCAGAGACACACTGGGTTTCACTTCACACATAAACTGCTCAGAGAGCAGCTCTGCGTTTAGCATTAGCTTCTCTTTGCTGTTATTTTAGCCATGTTAGTGAGATGTTAATGTCTGTGAGTTGGTCCTCCTCTTTGGTCCAGACCGAAATGTCTCAACAGCTGTTGGATGGATTGTGATGAAATGTGGTTCAGACGTTCATGTTGAACTATAATAACTGCTGATCCTCTGACTTTTCCTCGAACGCCATCATCAGGTTTAATTTGTCCAATACTTTGGTTTATGACAAGATAGCTGCAGAACTTCTGGCATTCCCATCAGCTGCAGCCGTGTTTACTGCTAATTAGCAAATGTTAGCATGCTAACAAGCAAAACTAAGCTGCTAAGATTGGTCAACACTGTTGTTGCTAAACATTAGCATGTTAGAAAGGTCTATAAAACACTATTGTAGTTGAAAGTGTTGTTATTGCTGCTGAGCGGATGTATTATTGTGCATCACGTTCATATTACGACAGAATAAACACGAGTCGCTGCGGTTGTCTGGAAGTTTGACTGTCTGCAGGATTTGTTGTTCATCAAAGTGACCAATAAAGTTTTCTTGCTCCAGCTGTAATTATTCAACAGAAAGCTGCTTCACTCTGTCAGTCAGTGGACAGAGATAAGGGTTTTAGAAGTCTGACTTTAAGCTGCGTGTCACAGTAGATTTACTTGGTGACTTCAGTAAAGACTTGTCTGAATTTCATGCAGGTGAAATTGGGAAAGTCAACAGAAATATTAAAGTTCGAGTTTTAAAATTCAGCTTTTTCAAATCCTTGATGATTTAAAGGTGTGTTGACTGTAATGATGTCCCTCCTTCCTCTCTCTCTCTCTCTGTCAGATCCAGCAGGCAGCAGAGCGTCCAGAGAGGAACTTTGTGGACACTCGTCAGCTGAAGGTAACAGAAATGTATTAAATCTAAATCCGGTTTTGAATCTTTTATTCTGTTTGTCCAAGTGAATTCATGAGTCAATGGTGTCGAGCTGCAAGTCGTTTGTGTTTTTGTCAAGTTGCGTCTAAAGTGATCAGATTCATGGCTCTAGCCCAAGCAATGTGACTCGAGTTCACATGTGTGGCATCAGCTACATGATAGAAAATAACGTTTGTCTGTTTCCATGGAGTCTTTGCATCATTATTCTCATTAAAAGAAAAGTAGGAAGCAAAATAAAAATCCTTTCACTTACTGTTAATGTATCAACCCTGCTGGCTTAATCTGCTGCTCTCACTCTCAGATCAGTGTGTGTCATAGGTTCGTATTCAGGGTTACCTACTTCATGCCGAGTCACCTGGTGTGTTGATTGAACATGTAAAACCCTGTTCCAGGTGTGCGCGACCTGCTTCGACCTGTCAGTCAGCCTGCTGCGTGTGCTGGAGATGACCGTCACTCTGGTCCCTGAGATCTTCCTGGACTGGTCCCGCCCCTCCGCAGAGCTGCTCCTCAGACGACTGGCTCAGGTGATCCACGCCAGGAGACGCATACGTCACAGTGTGACGGGTGTAGTGGGTTCGCTCACGGATTTCTCTTGTTTACGTGGGGTTACTCTGGGTTAAAGGCAGTTCATGCTAGAAAAGAAGCTGTTCGAACAACCAGTCGTTCAACCACATCTGAAGCTCCACATGAACTCTGAAAGGATGGTTCACATTTTCAGATTTCTGGTACATTTTCAAATTAACAGCTTTTATTCTGAAGTTTGTTATTTTGAACTTTCACTTGAGTCCAACGTCTTAGTTTAAGAAGTTTGATGAATACGAGCCCTGAATGGATGGAGAAGAAGGAGTGTGTGTGTGTGTGTGTGCGTGTGTGTGTGTGTGTGTGTGTGTCAGGAGTTGGTTGCTTTTATTGCTGAAAAACATATTAATACTTGATGTCTCTTCCTCTGCAGCTGTTGAACCAGGTGTTAAACAGAGTAACAGCAGAGAAGAACTTGTTTGATCGTGTTGTCAACTTAAGACTGCCAGGTACACACACACACACACACGTGCACACGCACATGCACACACGCACATGCACACATATTTGAAGTTTAATTTTGTGAAGCCATTTTCCATTAACACTTAATTTCACAGAGAGTTTCTTTAACAAAGCATAATTTGGCCCATATTACAGGAAACAGATGAAGTTCTCTAAACTATTTGAGGTTAAGTAGTTCACATTTTTGCATTTTCAGTTCAGCACTAACTAAAATACTCTCTGGTTACACTATCAATAAACTGGAATGAACTAATTAGGCTTATAATTATTGCAAAATTCTGAATCTCTTTTCACAAGATTTCCTCTGAATTTACAGGTATATATCAGTTCATTTCTAGTAAATTATTAGAAACCGTGGCAACGTTTTAATATCGACATCCAGTATGAAAGTGGAGGTATTAGGAATATGGTCACACACTAACTTAGCAAGCAATTGGATAAACATGTGAATCCATTCAGTGGAGCAGGAACTTATTCTGTTGATGGACTAATAGGAACGGTGATGGCTCCGCTGAAGTTGAGCTGCTCTGGCTCTATTTGGGAGGTGTTGGTTTACTGAAGCGTGTAAAAAAGTCATTTCTGTCAGCAGCAGGAAACTGAGTGAGACTCTGAGCAGGACGAGAGATTAATAACTGTTAGATTTCTCATGAAGCCTGGTGGTGAAAGATGATGGAGTAGAGAATTAAGAGGAGGAAATATCCTGAATTATCTTGTGTCCCTCATTCCCGACAGTGACATGATCATTTACACAATGACTTTGGTTGTTAGAGATGTTTAGGATAAAACTTCAGATGTGAATCTTTTCTGTTAGTGTCCTTTTAACTTTAACAGGTAGCTGAGGTCAGCATAAACACCTGAAACAGTGGGGGACAGCTAGTTTAGCTTGGCATAAAGACTGGAAAAAGGGGGAAACGGCTATTGTAGTTTAGCATAAACAGTGGGAACAGGGGGAAACAGCTAGTGTAGCTTAGCATAAAGACCTTTTGCTGGGGAAACGGCTATCTTAGCTTAGCATAAAGACCTGAAAAAAGGGGAATTAGCTAGTCTACTTCTGTCCACAGGTTTAAAAAAAAAAACATACACCTCCCAGCTCCTCTGAAGTTCACGGACATTTTGGGAGCTTTCACTTTCAGTTTTTACAGATTTTTTGTTTTTAATTTGTTGTTTAGATAATATGATAAAACTGGGGGATTTGTTTACCAGCTCTGTCACCATCTGATGGATTTTGTTTTGTACACAACTAGACTCTGTGTCAAGTGATGTCACTGTGTCTCATCAGTCAAAATGTTAATGCTGTTGGAGTTATAAACACACAGGTTTGTAAAAAAAACCTGAATTTTCATTTTACTGACTCATTACAGGGATTCATTTATTGAAGTGCGAAAATCGAAACAGTAAAACTCAGTAGTTTGTCTCACATTTCAACATATCAGGCAACCGGACATTAAAGTGACTGGCAGGAATAGCATCTTTAAAGGTTGCAGCAGTCACGGTGAGAGCGCTGGTGTCATCGGTGCAGTTTCGATGAACCTTTCTGTCAATATTAAAACTAATGTTTGTGTTTCAGGGCTGGAAAGTGTTGACCACTACCCCATCCTGGTTGCTGTTACAGGGATCCTGGTTCGAATCCTGGTGGATGGAGACAGACAGGGGTGAGTCCGAGCTGGCTTTTTTTCTTACCCATAATGCACCTGAGCCAGGTTGTTTTTGTTGTTTTGGGTGTTATCTGGACCTTTTCTATTTAAAGAATGGCACCAGTTTCAGACTCTGACTTCTGTTCGCTGCGTGTCAAACTGTTCACTTGTGCTTTTAATCCACTGAATCGTGAATTATAAAACATAACTGGCAGTTAGTCTGACTGGTTCTAATTAAGGTTGCTGTCTGATGAATAGGAAAGAAAGCTGTGTGTGTGTGTGTGTGTGTGTGTGTGTGTGTGTGTGTGTTGTTGGCCGCCCGTTTAGCTCTGCACTTCAGCTTGACTCTGCTAAAGCTGCTCTCTGAATGATGGTCTTTGGATCTTGGATGGATCTTTGAAGATAATCTTTACACAGCTCTAGTGTGTGTTTGCTGTACGCTGTCTGGTTGTTGCACAGAGCCTGCAAAGAGTGAACAGAGCCGCTTAAAGTCACAATAAGGCTGCTTCTGTTAAAAATCTGATCATTCCCAAAGCTGAACTATTTTCTGATGTATATCCAGGGTGTAAAATATTTTGTATATTTGTTTACAGAACATGAGGCAACATGGGGGTGTCTGGGTTTTTCTTGCTTTTTTTTTCTTCTCTTTTTAAAGTGTCTGAGTTGTTGCGCTAGAGGATTTTATCTTTTAAAATACATACACAAGAATAACAATAGTAATATTTTTCTATATGATAAGACAAAACTTAATTAACGATGTACAAAATCAATTTGTGGAAACGGAAGATAAGAATTGCAACTCCCATGTGAATCAAATTGTTTTTCCCTCATTGCACAGCCTGGATGTGCGCTGTAAAATTGTTATTGCATTATTAATATTCAAAACAAACAAACACAGAGTATGGCACCATTTTCTAGTTGTTTTTATAGAGAAAAGATCAAAACAATGTGACCAGATTCTGAAGCTTTGCTGTTCTTTACATTGGAAACTTTTAATCAAGTGAATTCAGCCTGTAGGATTTACCAGACATCAGAATAGTGAATGAAACCGATGTAAAAGGTTTTACTTCACTCTCTGCCGCTCTGTAGAAACGAGGATTTCTTTGCAGATGTGTGAGGAGTCAGCAGTCTCTCTGAAAATGTACTAATTAGGGAAACAGATCTCCGGCCCTGTGCATCATCCGTGACTGTCACAGAGCCGCTGCTCTGGGCTTTTCATCAACATTTGATTGAGCTTTAATTAACACAGCCGCTTCTCCAGTGACACGGCTGCGAAGGCGAATCCAAACTCATTACCTCTCAATAAAGCTCAGGCCCAACGACACAGTTGAGGGTCTGCTGACGGTTTGGGGTTCAGCATGAAATGGTGGAGGGAAGAAATCAGCTGTGCTTAATTGTGTTTAGGGAAAATGTCCCTTCAGGCCACCCGTACTTTACAGTGTGTACTCTGAGTGTGTGCTGCATTATGTGGATTAAAGTGTCCTGATGTGGCTGAAGGGTGTTTGTCTCCGTGGTTAACTGGATAATTGGGTTTCATCCAAACACGGAGAAGTTCTAATCTCTGTAGAATAACATTTTATCCTCATTTCACTGCTTCAGCAGCAGAAAAGAGATGTTCTGGTTTCCCTCCTGTTTCTGCAGGCAGACTCGCTCAAACAGTAAATTCTCAGACAATGGTTGGAGACTTTATTTACCTCAGGCGCATTAAGAGCCAGGCCTTTATTTCTAATTTCCCCTGTTCCTCACTTTATGCAAACTCGGTAAATCAACGATTTCCACAGCACCAACTCATCAGTACTGCAGAGTCATGTAGAACTCACTGCTCTGCTCAGACATCATGTTTCTTTATCCTCATTAATTCCAGACATTTCTTCTCCTGATTGATCTTAAACAAAACTCAACACTTCCTCATGTTTTTTCACAATAAAGGCTTGCATGTATAAAGAAGGATGGAAAACTTTTAATGTGAAAACTATGGAGGAAGTGTTGTCCTGAGCAGAATAAGCCCCAAAACAAAGGTCAGGTTCTCTCTCATGCTTTTTGAATTTGAATAATGTAAAAAAATTATGGTCTGATACGTGGTTTTAAGATTTTTTAATCTTCTGAATATCGATGTCAGTATCGTGTGCTGTCGGCTGAATCCAAAATATGCCGGTTTATAAAAACACAGATGAAACCAGATCTCACTAAAAGTGACACTCTCCCGTCTCCGGTCAGGATTTTCCTCGCTCATATTCACACTCTCTCACTCTCACAAGCGCATCATGAGGCCACGGTGGAGCATATCACAGGGTGTTGATGGGCTGCAGTGTGGAGGAAATTCAATTAGCAGACGATAAAAGCTGCAGCTGGTGCCAAAGTAAAGCAACGACTGACAGGAAACGCCGGCTGAGACTGAATCTCTTCGCTCGGCTCCGACTCATCTGGTCTCACACTGAAGCTGTGAGTTACATCTACGTCTGCAGGCTGCATGATTCTCTGTTAAACAGGAATCATCACTGATTTCAGTGTAATCAGGATTTATACAGTCTATACAGTCTGATTTCATAATGCTCGGAGGCTTTAATGACCGGGATGTTTTCAGTTTGTTGTCTTAACACGCTCACTTGTCAGTTTGTTGGGAACAACAGCTCAAACTAAGTCAGTCAGATAATAGATCGTCCTTCATGAAGGTGCTGATGTTCAGTTTCTGTGGGTTCGTTTTTGGAGGCTGTAGTTTGTGCCGCATTTTATTGAGAGTTGTGTCTGTTATTAAGCTTACCCTCAGTTATGTAAATGGGGTGGACAAAATAATAGAAACACTTGTTAGTATAATGTAATATAGTTCAAAAGTAACACAAACCACAGCCTCCAAACTGATCATGAAGTTGAATCAGCACCTCTAAAAATGTTTGAACATTTTATTTTCTGCAGAAGTAGGAAGAAGTAAAAGAGGGAGAGCTTCTAAAGAACAAACCTGTTGGTCACGGTCAACATCTGTTAGGACAGGCATTCAACATGTTACACATATTAGCAGTGACTTGACTGGGACCGTACATGTATAATGTAGTTTCAGTCAGACACTGAACCAGGATCAAATCTATCACTGCTCATAAACACTGTCGTCACGTAGCTGCTGAGCCGCAGATAAAATCAATATCTCATAATCAGGACATTGTCTGACAGGATGAAGATAAATCCAGGTTAATGACAAGTCTGTGTGCACATACAATATTTACAATACAATATTTTTTTCCCCTCTCGACCCGATCAACAGGATTCCCGATACGGACAGCATTTTATGAAGTGTTTGTTGTGTTTACAGTTACAGTTTAATCAGCTGTTAGTGGGTCTGTTTGTTGTTTCCATCAGCCGCTCTGCTCCCGTTATCACGTATCATTAGCCGACACATCTCTTAGCATTCACCCGTCGTTCTGTGGCCACGGAAGCAGGAAATTGATTGATTGTCTCTCCGTGTTCCTGCTGGTTCATGTGTGTGGCTCAGCAGTTTATAATTCTCCTCCTTATCTCTCATAAAAGCCCTTTCAGTCAGGCTCATCCTGGATGTCCCAGTGAAGTCACAGAGTCACAGATTAATGAATGTGACAGGTCACAGCCTGTGTTTTATCAGCAGCATCGTACAGCCACTGTACTGGGAAATAGATTTATATAATCTGGAGTGTAGTCAGCTGGATTCTTTTGTTATAATGGAGGATGGATGTTGTGTATGAGTGCACCTTTACTGGCACAGAGCACAAATCCATCTGTACATACACAGTTGTGTTATCAGAAGTTAAGAGGGAGAAACGAGCGATGCCTTTCATGAAACTTTTACACAGACGGTCACTTCTGGAAACTTAATTTTGGATTATTAATGAGTGATGGATTATATCACCCTGTTACCAATCTTTTCATTTTTATTTTGAACTGTGAAGCACTGTGTAAAGGCTGTTTTCAATGTGAGCTCTATGAATTAATCACTGATTATTGTTCTGATGTTTGATAACGATGACGCAACAGTCGTTGAAATCGTCGTTCTTCGTGGCCTCTCTACATCCTATCTGTCTAACTGTGAGGCCTGTGCACGCTCCGCAATGACTGAGAACGCACATGCAGCTTTATGAATCTGTTTAGTTCTGTTTTAGTCGTAGATGAGAGTTTTATGGATCTGGTCCATGTGGATGTGAGGGTTGAGGTACACATCTCACCTGTTTGCTCTCAGGAAACGGGTTGTGATTCTGCAGGTTGTGGCAGTTCTGTGCTGCTGATGCCGACGGTGTACTGTATGATTGACTGCTCATGTAAAATACTTACCGAATATGCAACTGCAGTCAACATTTCCACCCTGACCAATGAGGCAGTGAAAGTTTCTGCTGTGACACAAAGTGAATTCACTTCAGCGGTTTTCTCAGCAGAAGATTTCCTGAGCTGCTGGTTCACAGCAAATTGTCAGGCAGTAAAAAACACAGCTCAGAACAAAAGAAGGGGGAAGGAGAAGTCTGATTCATGTGTCTTTTTGCATCTGATTCATTTCCATTTGATAACTCTGTCTACAAAACACCGAAACACATGAATTCAGTTCTTGTGAAGCATCAAGGGTGGAAACTGTGTGAGAGGAATGGAGACGTAGAGAGGGCCTGTCTAATATCATAGGCTTAGATAAGACAGGGAGATTAATTATTATCTTAGATTTTAAGCAATAGTTCGACATTTATGGGAAATATGAAACTACAGCCAGCAGCTGGATAGCTTACGCAACACAGCGAGTTGGTTCCACACAAAGTCCCCATCTCCCTTTCCAAACACAACCAAATACAAAGAGTTGTTTGCAGAGCAGTCGGAGTCAGCACGGTCCTGTAATAGCAAAGGGCAGCGGAGGGATTAACCAAAGTCCAGTTCAGTATAAACAAATTCCAGTCAAATCATTCTGGGCGATATCGTATTATTGCAAATTTATTTTGAAACAGCTGACATCCAGCCAAGTCCTGCACAGAGACACAAAGTCTGCCGCCCGAGACTCGCTCCCTTTAGCTTAGCTT